ATAAAGGAGGAACAATAGCGGTCCCAAGCAAGTTCCCTGGGGGACACCCGAGTCAACTGCTGCTGTGTCTGATGTTTCTCCATCCACCACTACCCGTTGTTCTCTGTCCGAAAGAAAAGCACTGATCCATGTTTTCACATTTCCTCTGATGCCGTAATAGTCCAATTTGTTAGCAAGCCTTCGATGGGGGACCTTATCGAAGGCTTTGCTAAAGTCCATAATAATCAGGTCGATCTGCTCACCGGTGTCTAATTTGGCGGATATGTCTTGGACTAGTGATATGAGTTGAGTTTCACAGGACCTTTTAGATCTAAAACCGTGTTGACTTTCATGTAGGATTTCATTGGCTGTCAGATGGTCCATGATGTTACTGACCAGGATGTGCTGGAAGGTCTTACTTAGTATACAAGTCAGGGACACAGGCCTGTAGTTGGACGCTTTGTATCTCTCGCCTTTTTTGAATATGGGTGTAACGTTCGCAGATTTCCAGTCAGATGGTGGATGTCCTTGTTGCAGTGACAGTTGAAAAAATTTTGACACAAGAGGGGAGAGTTCGTCGGCACATTCGTTTATAAATTTCGCTGATATCGTGTCTGGGCCAGACGCTTTATGCGGATTTACTTTCTTTAGGAGTTTTTTAACACCGCTGGTCGAGATAGTTATGTCTGGCATATCTGGTTAGGGATTAAGTAACCTGTCTTAAAAAAACCGATATTTAACTATATATCCTCGTGTTACCGGTTTCTGCGCACTTGAGAAGCAACCGCGATTTCGTACTTATATAGGCAGAAGATTGTTGAAATTACGGACGACTGTCATAAACATGTATACAATCTACTTATGAAAACAAAAAAATAGCAACATAAAACTGTATTTTAAAAAAATCACAACAAACAATTTTTAACAAATTTCTCCCATCGTAAGAAGCAGTCATATGTTTCCGTGTGTCTATTTTGATTTATATTATTAGTGTTCAAATAAAGATAACTTGAATATACTAATAATAAATTCCCCATAGTGGCCTGCCGTAACTGTCAACTTGAACGAATACATGTAGTTTTATAAATTTGTGTATTTTACTTACATCGTATTTAGTTATGATAGAATCTGTTATTGTTTTTTTTGTGCAGTCTTATATTAGTTTTGGTTGATGGCGAGTTATTTCTCATTTTATTCTGTTTAAAATTGGTGAAAATTGGAATTTCATTGCGGTAAAAGGTTTACGTTTCAATGCAAGCAGTGTTAATATCGTATATAAGAATGTCTCCTTGGCTCTTCGGAAGATGTGGCCTCATTTGCATACAATATTTTCGTACGTTTGTCAGACTGCAAAATTGGCCGGTTCATGAATGAAATATATCACCGTTTTTTCAAGTTTGGGCCCATTATGATCAAGATAAAAAATGCTTTATTTATGCATGTTTTTTTAATCAGTGATTATTTTCCGGACGAACTTCCGGTAATTTTTGTGTCAGTTAACAGACGTCTAAAATATCCTTGTGTTGTGTCCAATAGGTCACTTAGTTACGAGATATAGCTTGATAAAATGGCTGCACGGAAATACATAACGCGCAGAAACATATGAATGTGACTTACAATCAAAATCGTCACGACATCAACAAGCCGTGTTAAAAAAGAACATGCCCACAAATTGAATGGTTGTTTCAACGTGTCACTCACTGCATCTATCTTGTCAATTGGTCGATAGAATGTTTGAGGTCGGTGTCGTCCTTGATTTCAGAAGCACTGTACAACATTGTATCTTTTTCGGAGACTTGTTGTTTGCGTGCATTGTCAACTTAAGATTACGCATACATGTATATGGAAATATAAAATTTGAAAAGGGATAAAATACTGCTAGAAAATTAGCTGCGATAACGTAGCTTTCGGACGCTGATTTTTTTTTTATATATATTGCATGTTCAGACCGGTCGGGGCAGAGGAGGCCGGGTATTAATATTAGTACTACTGGAAAATGTGTGACGCAGAGCAACCAGAATGGTTCAGAACCTAAAAGATTTTAATTTACGTCTCCAGAAAGACTCCACTAACTACGATTACCAGCCTTGGAATACTGGCGTGATAGAGAAGGAATAGACATAGTAGATCATGAAATTAGGTTAAAAAAAAAACCTGATAACAAGAGGCAACACAAGGAATAAGCACGCCAGACAATGTGGTTGATTCTCCAAATTTTAAGAACATACTCAATAAATTTTTGAAAAATCATCAGTTCAAATTTGGGGTGCAGGGCTATCTGCATACCTGATTATACCTCTCCTTATTCAAGCACAGTGGAAGTGTAAATACAATCCAAGTTTTTAACTATATCAAAAAGCACCCTTAGAAGCTATAAGGCTTACCACTGGCGTCTACAACTATGTTAACTATGGGTATACGTATATACGTAGGGCAGGGTTTATCGAATTGTAAACCAACTCAACAATTTAGCTTAAATAGTTGTTTCAAAGTATAATTTTTAATCTACATACATGTGAGACATTTTCAATGGTGATTACAAAAAATTAACCAAGAACCATTGTACAGATTTTGTGTGCATAGTCAAACAACATTAGAGATACTAATTATGACAAGTTCTGTGCAGTCCGCATAATTACATCCGATAAAAGATAGTAGACGGCTACTGGCCTCTCATGTGATAGGAGTAAGGTTTTGTGGTGATCCTAGATGTCAGAATTTTATGTTTAAAAACAATATTTTTAAGGCAAGTTAAGAGGTATTGTGGTGTCTGCAACTTAAAATCAGGAGCGTGGCACTTATCAATTACCACAAATTGCTCATGTATTGGTTCAATATTTGGAACATTTTATTTTCCAGAAGGTGACAACAAAAAATGACATACAGGACTGGATCAAGGTAAATATATATTATTGAATTATGCGTTTTATAACTGTTAATTGCTGAATACATACCTTTGTAAGCAGTGTAATATTATAATTAAAGATTACTCTTTCTTATTTATTTTTGGGCCAGAATTTGGTCTCATTCCCATTAAGTTAACAACACACTTTTTTCTATCTAAAGAATTGATATAGGAAGTACGTAGTATACAGTCAGTAGTGTACAATGGCAATGGGTGATATTTCTGTACAATGGATTTATAACCCCTGTAATATTTTATATAAAAAAATATTCAGAACTGAATAAACTGAAGAAGTGGAAGAAATAAAAGGACAATTTCATTTAATGGATCTGAAATAGGGGATTGGGGTTGGGGGGAGTCGCAAATTAAATTCCTCAATAATTTTGTAGCAGATTTTAATTGTACATAGGATTACGGTCGCCTTCTAGCTTCAATATGGAAGGAATTTCCTTTAGCTCAGTAGTAAAGCGTCAGACTAGGAACCTAGGGATCACCGGTTTCGATTGAGTGGAAGCACACTATTCTCTTTCCTGGAAAACTTTATATAACTAATCAGTTTTTATTTTTACAGACTGTGGAGTCGGCTTCAGATAAAGCTGCACAAAAAGTTTTTGGATCTAATCCAAAATCTGGAAAAGCGCTGGGGAAGGTGGCAACTTTGAAGTCTGTGAGTCAACTTCGGGAACATGATGCTGCTCTTAGTGAAGGTGAGGACCAGTATGATTTTTAGTCTTCCTGTATTTTAAATATTATCGACTAATAGTCTAATGCTCTCCCAAATCTTAGTAAGGCAAAACCATATGTATGGCGCAGGAAACATGACTGAAGAAAGTATGGTATTTAAGTAGGGATTTATTTCCATAATTTTTTTTAAGGAGGGGGATAATTTAAGAAATTACAAAAATCATCAAACATAGTTATTCAGACCAATTATATTCATTTCTTGTTATATTTTTAGTTATTTATATTTGCTTTTGATATACTGATCTGCCTATGAAATAGAGAAGTGTCATATAAAGAAAGACGGATATTTACATGTACATGTAAGTGCATTCAAGTGAGATAAATTGTTCGGGTCAGAGGTAAAAACTAACATCTAAGGTCAGTCGGGGTGCCTGAAAAACAATATTTTAGGCGTCCAAAATTTCACAATTTGTACCATTGGGGCATTTGTATCATTTGAATACAAGATGAAAATTTAGATTTAAAAAAAAAATGGGAATGGAAAATGGAATACTTGTACCAAGGTAAAGAATTAATCCATATGATTATCTCCCTTAGCCCAGGATCTCCTGTCTCAGTGGATGGACGAAAAAGTCAATCTCCAAGACGACGGTGACGATTATTTGGATGATGATATGTATCAAAGACGAATGGTCCAGTCAGATGTGAAGCGTGAGTGGGACCATCTTCTCCAGGACAACTACGAGGAACAGGGTCTGGTGAAACCTCAGCCAACCATCAACGGTCAGTAAAACTATCTATAATTGGACACATTTCAGCTTAATCATAGCAAATTGATAAATGGTGATATTCTGTTCACTTAAATCCCCAGGAACTCACATGACACAGGTTCCCAACCCCACGGTCTGTGTAAATACATATATGTATCATATAATACATGTAAAAAATTGGACTTTGGGTTTAGGGGTCTGTGTTGGGTGGGCCTCTTTGCTTTAACTCATTCACCCCTGAAGACACATTTGAACTCCTCAAACTCAAAGGTTGGAATAGTCCATTATGAAATTTCAGGGGTGAATGAATGAGTTAATCAAATTATTGTTTCTATATTATTTTTTGATTTATTTTCCTTTTATAGACACTATAGTCCGATTTGTTTCCCCACTACTTTTCCTTCTAATTGGGAAGCTTCACCAGGTCCTGATATAGCCTCGTACTAGTTTAGAGGCGAAACTAGTTGGCCATTAAAATAAATACCAACTTACTGGTGACGCTTGAGAATGTTGTGATTGATTCTTTCCTTTTTCGTGCACATACTTGATTTCGTGCATTGATGATTTGGCACTCCCACCATATGCAATAGATGACAATTTGCAGAACCTTAAATTCACTTAGCACTTTCATAATTTAGCACAGTGGTTAATAAGACTGCTAATAAAGCATGAATGCTTATAGAACATTCTTATATAAGGTCTTATATGAATATGACATTTCATGGTACCAGTGCCGTACTAACTTATCTAATAAATCATATAAGATTCTGACCCAGTTAACATTTCTCATTAACCCTGTTCCGTCTTTGCATATTGCAGAGTTATCTTCTCTTTAGAGCAGGTATTGATTGTTTCGTCATTTGTTTGTGAGAGTAAGGCCATCAATTTTTTAGAAAACGACATAATTTTCTCACACAAACCAAAGAGATAACAATCGATACCTGATCTCAAGAGAAGATAACTCTGCAATACGCAAAGACGGAATTATGCTTTTGTAATGAGTAACACAGTGTATTGACCAATTAACTAAACTTCTATTTATAGACACTGACCCGTATGCATTTCTAGCAGAACAAGATGAGGAGAGTGCTGTGGAGTCCATTCTAAAACACATGCTCAGTAAGAAAGTCGTCAACGACAATTTTACCAATGATTTAGGGTTTGACGATTTGAACAAGCCCGACCCTCGAACAAAGATGGAGCTACGACACCAACAGGTACTGTGTTCACTAAGATCAAAGTACAAGTTAAGGAATTAAAGTAGACCATTTCACATTTGTATTTGTATACTAGCCCAACAAAATCCATTTATCACATACTAGCCCAACAAAATCCTTTGTTCTGTTCTTTTGCAATGCATTACATTGTGTTGTAAACTAACAAAATCCATTTATCACATACTAGCCCAACAAAATCCTTTGTTCTATACTTTTGCAAGGCATTACATTGTGTTGTAAACTAACAAAATCCATTTATCACATACTAGCCCAACAAAATCCTTTGTTCTGTTCTTTTTAAATGCATTACATTGTGTTGTAAACTAACAAAATCCATTTATCACATTCTAAACCAACAAAATCCTTTGTTCTATACTTTTTCAATGCATTACATTGTGTTGTAAACTAGCAAAATCCATTTATCACATTCTTGTCCGTGATTTGGGTTATTTTGCATGTTTGATACTGCTAACTCTGTAAAGGACATGCCCCGGCCCAACCAATACCCACCTTGCCCACACTTTAATCCGCCCAGCTAACACCATATCTGCCGGAATGCGCCATATCAATTTAATTTCTGGTTAAACTCTTGCTAGGGAGTAAGATAACCTCTAAATGTCTCTGCGTGTCAGTACAGAGTAAGATACTCTATAGATTCTGTTAAGAATATAAACAATATGGTCAGGAGAGATATATATATTTTAAAAGCTAATAGCACACAACAGATTCTATTATATTTTACCTTAATTATCAACTTGTCAGTGGTATGTGTTTAGCATGCAATACATCTACCTCCCCATAGACCATATCTTGGACCAACCCATATCTGCCTAGCACGCACCTTATATGCTAACTTCTAATTACTCTGCGTCTGGGATTACGATTACATGACTAAAGAACAAAAGATGTACCTGCTTGTAGGCATTTTTTTTAAATTCTACAAGCCTGTGAATCTTTTCACAAAAAAATTACGATAAGTTTTTCTTGTAAGAGAAATCCTACGATATTGATCCTTTTCACCAAATTTCTGATGAGAATCTTGAGTGAAATATATCATCCTAACTTTAGGAGAGTTTGACCCAGTCTCTTAAAAATATCATCGTAAGTGTAAATATTTATAATGATTTTTATCACTATCCTATATATTTTCATTGTAAATATTGAAAATTTTCACTCGTTAGATCTGACTTACTCTGCTAACCTTGGTCATCCGGCTAGTGTAATTGTACACACCTCCTCTACATAGCCATATACAGGGGTGGGGGATTAATCTGTTAAACAGTTCTTCATTTCTGCTGCCTCAGGTGAAAGAGAATCGAGAGAAGCGTCAAAAGGTGCTGGACAGCAAGAAGAAAGAACAACGAGCAAAGAAAGATGCTCATCACAAAGCTAAGCAGATCATACTTCAGGAAATACAGTTATATCCTTCTGGTAATACAGTTATATCCTTCAGGTAACGCAGCAATATCTTTCAGGTAATACAGTTATATCCTTCCGGTAATACTGTTATATCCTTCAGGTAACGCAGCAATATCCTTCAGGTAATACAGTGATATCCTTCAGGTAATACTGTTATATCCTTCAGGTAATACAGTTATATCCTTCTGGTAATACAGTTATATCCTTCAGGTAACGCAGCGATATCTTTCAGGTAATACAGTTATATCCCTCTGGTAATACAGTTATATCCTTCAGGTAATACAGTGATATCCTTCAGGTAATACAGTTATATCCTGAAGGATATAACTGTATTACCTCAAGGATATAACAGTATTACCTGAAGGATATCCTTCAGGTAATACAGCTATATCCTTCCGGTAATACTTTTATATCCTTCAGGTAATACAGTTATATCATTCTGGTAATACAGTTATATCCTTCTGGTAATACAGTGATATCCTTCAGGTAATACAGTTATATCCTTCCGGTAATACTTTTATATCCTTCAGGTAATACAGTGATATCCTTCAGGTAATACAGTGATATCCTTCCGGTAATACTGTTATATCCTTCAGGTAATACAGTTATATCCTTCAGGTAATACAGTTATATCCTTCAGGTAATACAGTTATATCCTTCAGGTAATACAGTTATATCCTTCAGGTAATACAGTTATATCCTTCAGGTAATACAGTTATATCCTTCAGGTAATACAGTTATATCCTTCAGGTAATACAGTTATATCCTTCAGGTAATACAGTTATATCCTTCAGGTAATACAGTTATATCCTTCAGGTAATACAGTTATATCCTTCAGGTAATACAGTTATATCCTTCAGGTAATACAGTTATATCCTTCAGGTAATACAGTTATATCCTTCAGGTAATACAGTTATATCCTTCAGGTAATACAGTTATATCCTTCAGGTAATACAGTTATATCCTTCAGGTAATACAGTTATATCCTTCAGGTAATACAGTTATATCCTTCAGGTAATACAGTTATATTCTTCAGGTAATACAGTTATATCCTTCAGGTAATACAGTTATATCCTTCTGGTAATACAGTGATATCCTTCAGTAATACAGTTATATCCTTCCGGTAATACTGTTATATCCTTCAGGTAATACAGTTATATCCTTCAGGTAATACTGTTATATCCTTGAGGTAATACAGTTATATCCTTCAGGTAATACAGTTATATCCTTCAGGTAATGCAGTTATATCCTTCAGGTAATGCAGATATATCCTTCAGGTAATACAGTAATATCCTTCAGGTAACGCAGTGCTTTCTTCCCTATATGACAAATTTTGAAGGAAAAATAATTGTCAGTGTGCTTACTGTTTTATTGTCTGGCCGTCACGAAGTAGCAGAAGCGAGACTAAGGTGTTGCTTTTTTTCGCCAATGGCGGCATCAACATTAAGTTTTAAGTTTGTTTCACTGAAAGTATAAGTCAGGTAGACCAACCAAACTTGGACCATAGATGCATCTTAGGTACTACATTTCAACCCATGCATCAAATGCTGTACGAGGCCTACCTTTCGTGGTCCATTGACTTTATCAGCATCTCAATCAACATTAAGTTTTTGCGTTTAAGCTAGTTTCTCTGAAAATATAAGTGCTAGACAAACCAAACTTGACATGTGCATTGATGGTCAAAGCAGGGGCCATCACAGGTGAGACATATCAATCCGAATGGCTTGTCTGTTTCTATGTTACCTGTGACATGACCGAATGGCTTGTCCATTTCTGTGTTACTTGTGACATGACCGAATGGCTTGTCTGTTTCTGTGTTACTTGTGACATGACCGAATGGCTTGTCCATTTCTGTGTTACTTGTGACATGACCAAATGGCTTGTCCATTTCTGTGTTACTTGTGACTTGACCAAATGTCTCGTCTGTTTCTGTGTTACTTGTGACATGACCGAATGGCTTGTCCATTTCTGTGTTACCTGTGACATGACCGAATGGCTTGTCTGTGTCTGTGTTACCTGTGACATGACCGAATGGCTTGTCTGTGTTACCTGTGACATGACCGAATGGCTTGTCTGTGTCTGTGTTACCTGTGACATGACCCAATGGCTTGTCCATTTCTGTGTTACCTGTGACATGACCGAATGGCTTGTCTGTGTCTGTGTTGCCTGTGACATGACCTAATCGCTTGTCTGTTTCTGTGTTACCTGTGACATGTCCGAATGATTTGTCTGTTTCTGTGTTACCTGTGACATGACCGAATGGCTTGTCTGTGTTACCTGTGACATGACCGAATGGCTTGTCTGTGTTACCTGTGACATGACCGAATGGCTTGTCTGTGTTACCTGTGACATGACCGAATGGCTTGTCTGTGTTACCTGTGACATGACCGAATGGCTTTTCCATTTCTGTGTTACTTGTGACATGACCGAATCTGTGTTACTTGTGACTTGACCAAATGTCTCGTCTGTTTCTGTGTTACTTGTGACATGACCGAATGGCTTGTCTGTGTTACTTGTGACATGACCGAATGGCTTGTCCATTTCTGTGTTACCTGTGACATGACCGAATGGCTTGTCTGTGTCTGTGTTACCTATGACATGACTGAATGGCTTGTCTGTGACATGACCGAATGGCTTGTCAGTGTCTGTGTTACCTGTGACATGACCGAATGGCTTGTCTGTGTCTGTGTTACCTGTGACATGACCTAATCGCTTTTCTGTTTCTGTGTTACCTGTGACATGACCGAATGGCTTGTCTGTTTCTGTGTTTCTTGTGACATGACCGAATGGCTTGTCTGTTTCTGTGTTACCTGTGACCTGACCGAATGGCTTGTCCATTTCTGTGTTACTTGTGACATGAACGAATGGCTTGTCTGTTTCTGTGTTACATGTGACTTGACCAAAAGTCTCGTCTGTTTCTCTGTTACCTGTGACATGACCTAATCGCTTGTCTGTTTCTGTGTTACCTGTGACATGTCCGAATGATTTGTCTGTTTCTGTGTTACCTGTGACATGACCGAATGGCTTGTCTGTGTTACCTGTGACATGACCGAATGGCTTTTCCATTTCTGTGTTACTTGTGACATGACCAAATGGCTTGTCTGTTTCTGTGTTACTTGTGACATGACCAAATGGCTTGTCCCTTTCTGTGTTACTTGTGACATGACCAAATGGCTTGTCTGTTTCTGTGTTACCTGTGACATGACCGAATGGCTTGTCTGTGTTACCTGTGACATGACCGAATGGCTTGTCTGTGTTACCTGTGACATGACCGAATGGCTTGTCTGTGTTACCTGTGACATGACCGAATGGCTTGTCTGTGTCTGTGTTACCTATGACATGACTGAATGGCTTGTCTGTGACATGACCGAATGGCTTGTCAGTGTCTGTGTTACCTGTGACATGACCTAATCGCTTTTCTGTTTCTGTGTTACCTGTGACATGACCGAATGGCTTGTCAGTGTCTGTGTTACCTGTGACATGACCTAATCGCTTGTCTGTTTCTGTGTTACCTGTGACATGACCGAATGGCTTGTCTGTGTCTGTGTTGCCTGTGACATGACCTAATCGCTTGTCTGTTTCTGTGTTACCTGTGACATGACCGAATGGCTTGTCTGTGTCTGTGTTACCTGTGACATGACCCAATGGCTTGTCCATTTCTGTGTTACCTGTGACATGACCGAATGGCTTGTCTGGTTCTGTGTTACTTGTGACATGACCGAATGGCTTGTCTGTTTCTGTGTTACATGTGAATTGACCAAATGTCTCGTCTGTTTCTCTGTTACCTGTGACATGACCTAATCGCTTGTCTGTTTCTGTGTTACCTGTGACATGACCGAATGGTTTGTCTGTGTCTGTGTTACCTGTGACATGACCGAATGGCTTGTCAGTGTCTGTGTTACCTGTGACATGACCGAATGGCTTGTCCATTTCTGTGGTACCTGTGACATGACCGAATGGTTTGTCTGTTTCTGTGTGACCTGTGAAATGACTGGATGGCTTGTCTGTTTCTGTGTTACCTGGGACATGACCGAATGGGTTGTCTGTGTCTGTGTTACCTGTGACATGACCGAATGGTTTGTCTGTTTCTGTGTGACCTGTGACATGACTGGATGGCTTGTCTGTTTCTGTGTTACCTGTGACATGACCGAATGGTTTGTCTGTGTCTGTGTTACCTGTGACATGACCGAATGGCTTGTCTGTGTCTGTGTTACCTATGACATGACTGAATGGCTTGTCTGTGTCTGTGTTACCTGTGACATGACCGAATGGTTTGTCTGTGTCTGTGTTACCTGTGACATTACCTATAATGGCTTGTCTGTGTTACCTGTGACATGACTGAATGGCTTGTCTGTGTCTGTGTTACCTGTGACATGACCTATAATTGCTTGTCTGTGTTACCTATGACATGACTGAATGGCTTGTCTGTTTCTGTGTTACCTGTGAGATGACCGAATGGCTTGTCTGTGTCTGAGTTACCTGTGACATGACCGAATGGGTTGTCTGTTTCTGTGTTACCTGTGAGATGACCGAATGGCTTGTCTGTGTCTGAGTTACCTGTGACATGACCGAATGGGTTGTCTGTGTCTGTGTTACCTGTGACATGACCGAATGGCTTGTCTATGTTACCTGTGACATGACGGAATGGTTTGTCTGTTTCTGTGTTACCTGTGACATGACCGAATGGCTTGTCTGTGTCTGTGTTACCTGTGACAGGAGAGTGACTTATAGGGTTATATGATGGCACACTTTGACAAATGCTGTTGTTTTCCATTTACAGGAGGAGAAGAATAAACAGGCAGATGTGAAGAAGGAGGAAATGAAGATTCGGAAGGAAATGGCCCGAATACGTAAGGACATGCAGGAAGAACGTCGCCAGTTAGACGAACAGAAATCTAGGTATTATCACTATAATCTGGGAACTTTTTGCCCTGTCAAACTTTCTCCCTTCGCTGATCAATTCGATATTGGCACAGTTTTAATTTCCTCTGTCACCTTATTACTATGTTAGTTATGTGGTTTACTAATGCTTGCTGTAATGTTAAATCTGCCCTGATGAGGGAGGGAGGGCGAAACAAGCAGAATACAAACTACATACATAAATCATACAGTATCTAATACTTTCATGTCAAGGATGTTTCGTGTGTATCTGTATGTACCGGTATATTTGCAAAATGTGCTTGTAACATTTTTTTTATTTTATTTTTTGTGGATTATTTTCATATTGGCCCATGGATTGTCGAATTCATCACGGGACAAAAGAATAAATATAGACTAAAACGATGTTTTGCCAGTTTGTGGATGAGATCATTAGGGGGTCTGAAAATGATTCCTAAGTGGCCAAACACAAGGTTTGCTGAGTCAGCAGTCTTTAAACCCATCTGTTTGTAAAGTCTTACATCTAAAAACAGTCTAAACATGTGGTAAACCATGGCCGCAGGGTGTTATTTTGTGGGTTATATTTTGATTATTTTTACTTACTTTGTTAGCAGCTAAATTGTTGACTGCTAGATCTTATATCACTTAGAGTAGCTGTTGCAGTTTCAGTGTTTATTTTGCTCAGTTTTACTGCTGTATACAGGCTGTTTCCCCTAGCTAAAAGTGCCTTATTTTCCCTATTCATAAAGGAACAGGCTGTTGAAAAATTAAGTCAACAAAAACATTGAGTTTAAAATTAATTTGATTTTTTTTTATTGAAATTGAGGAAGGGACCCATACAGACCAAAGCAGAGTCTAGGAAAATTCTTTTACATCAAATCTTTACAAATAGCAGTAAAATATGTCTGCATGTATTTTGTATAGACAGAGGAAGAATCAGGAAGAAACGTTACACAAAGCCACAGTGTTAGTTGATACAGAGGAAGCAAGATCCCTGCAGGAGAGAGGAGAGCGTGAACGAGCAGAGGAAGACAGACGAAGAAAGATCATGGTCAAACTGGGACAGATACAAACCAGACAAGAGGCTGCTAATCTAAAGGTACATTCTATAGAGGGTATCAGACTGCTAATCTAAAGGTACATTCTATAGGGGGTATCAGACTGCTAATCTAAAGGTACATTCTATAGTGGGTATCAGGCTGCTAATCTAAAGGTACATTCTATAGGGGGTATCAGGCTGCTAATCTAAAGGTACATTATATAGGGGGTATCAGGCTGCTAATCTAAAGGTACATTATATAGGGGGTATCAGACTGCTAATCTAAAGGCACTTTCTATAGGTGGTATCAGACTGCTAATCTAAAGGTACATTCTATAGGGGGTATCAGACTGCTAATCTAAAGGTTCATTCTTTAGGGGTATCAGACTGCTAATCTAAAGGTACATTATATAGGGGGTATCAGACTGCTAATCTAAAGGTACATTCTATAGGGGTATCAGACTGCCAATCTAAAGGTACATTCTATAGGGGGTATCAGACTGCTAATCTAAAGGTACATTCTATAGGGGTATCAGACTGCCAATCTAAAGGTACATTCTATAGGGGGTATCAGACCTCTCATTAATGTTCATAAGTTAACTCTCCCAAGACTTCACACCCTTGCAGGTCGGGGATCAAGAAAAGTGTATCGTAAGAGGCGACTAATGTGGGAACCCCTGCAGAATTGTGAATTTGCTTTTGAGCCCTCTACTAGCTAGGGGACTCAAAAGAATCAGCTGTACCCATTGCAATATTTGGGATCTGTCATTACCTCTCTACTTCTAACTACCTTTTATTTCCTGGCGCCTTGCCTGGCAACACCTCATTTCTGACTTTAATGTTGAATGTTCGCCTGTCCCAGGTAAGGAAGGCAATGGGTTATGTTCCCCGCTGGGACATACCTTAAAAATGGTAGTTGTTATTTACTGTTTAACCTTCAGGGTAACGGCAACTACTGATTCATCCTTCTTCAGGTAATCTGACTGAGGAAGGCTGATCAGTTGTTAAGTATATAAGGCATGTAGGAAGTATTCTAATCTCGATTTAATGTGCTCTCATTGACAAATTGTTTTGCATTACTGTAAAAACCTGTGTAATTTGCGCAGGTACTTTTTATGGCTGAAAATACTGAAAAAAGTTTCTACTAATATATTTTGCGCATCAATTTTTTCCCTCAAAAATGATGTTCAGGATGCCCGGAAAATTGACCTCCGACACGAAACTTTGACACAAATATTTACTTTCTCATATTGTTTATTAATTAAATGTGAAACGTTTTTTTTTAAATAGTGAAATAATAACATGACTTGTAATAATGTTTTTCACTCTATAGAGTCTTCATCGCCATTTTTCTGCATGGTACAACATAGTTCTACAGCGTCGTCTACAGATCGGACGAGCTAAAGCTATTCACGACTGGAAGCTTCTCCTACAGGCCTGGAACGCATGGAAGGCGTACATACGCACACGACGAATAGACTGGGAGACGAAACAACACGAGATTACTATCATACAGACTCACAGGTGATTCAACTTAGCTTTAGATACTGTTTATTAAGTCATTTTAGTGGAGGTGTTATTTGGCAATTTTAGGGGGCCACATCTAAGTTGCCAAAATTGATACAAAATTGAATTTGAAGCAGACAACTGAAATGTCACCAACATTTCGATCTGTAGCTGTTTTGCATTCTACTTTAAATTAAATGGAGTAGCTCCTGAGAGCATCAAAGATAATTAGTGTTTAACTTTATACTTTATAGCAACAGTAAGTTGAATTGCTAATAGGTATGGTAAACAAATCGGCGGGAATTTAGAACACATTATTTTAAAAATAAGAATTATACAATTATACACTTGCCTTTAACCAAGGCTGATGGGGTTCGATTTAAGACCATCCCCCCCATGCACCATCATCCAGGCTTGAGTACTGAAATAACAGAATTTATCGATTTTGGCTGTCAGCAATAAAATAATAGCTTTGCGAAACTCGCTCAAACTGATCAATTTTCACATTGACATTATTCCATTATTGAGTCACAGGTATAACTCACGATATGTGACCATACAAAAAGCACCCTCAGGGGCAAGAGAGAAATCTGACAAAAGCACAAATAAAGAACAAGACGGGGAGGTGTCAAAAGGTGCTTTCATGGTAAAAGTCGGGGAGGAGCATTAAGAAAGTTGCTAGCGAATTAATTTGAAGGTTTCAGTTTCTGCTGTTTGTACTGTTTCTTGTTTTACCACATCTATTAGCTTTAAGGCCTTTTTTACTTTAGATGTAAGATTCTGTGATTTAATTTTTAATAGAAAGACCCATGCTGCAGAGACACATTACAGAGTATGGTTGCTAAGGAAGTACTTTGTTGCCTGGCAACTATGGATAAAAATGGAACAGGAGAGAAACGAAATGGAACAAGCTCAAGAAAAAACACGCAATAAAATGGCAGCTTTACTTGAAGCAGCTGCCAAGGGCAAACTCTCCGAGGGAAATAACACAGATCGATCAGAACAAGGAAAAGGCAAAGTTGTCGCCAAGGCAACAAACCTTGAAGTGGTGAGTAGCTAGGCTGGTGTTATAATTATAGGATAATCTGTTTTTCAAGAGAAATCTTCCCATAAATGGTATAAAAAGATCTGTTTTTATATTAATTAATAAATTTTCCTTAACAAATTAAAGTGGTGTACTAACTTATATAAAGCACCAAAACATAACATTTTTTCTGGAGGGGGGGGCGGGGTAATTATAATCAATGTCTGTTCTAAGCTTATAACAGGAAAGTTTTTAAAAAAGTAAAAAAGTAAAGATTTCTGAATTATTTTTGTAAATTAGTGATGGTTTCATGCTTTTTAGGAAAATAAAAAATTCATAAGAGTATTGCAATATTTGTACAGCTGACACCAATGTTTGCCAACTGGCTTTCGTAACAAAATAATGCAATGTCCAGTTCATCCTCCATGTGTTTTTAAGATAACTGACACTTCAGTTTTTGGAATCATATTTTTTTTCCAGTGTTTTGAAAAAAGTTTTGAGTAAAAATTAGTTTAGACTCAATCCTGGGAATGTGTCCAACATTTACATTGCCTTTACCCATAGCAGCTGTCAGTACTGATTTTTCGTTATCTTAATAAGCACCGCCCAGGACACCAAGAACGGTGATACAATTCCTGTTCTGGACTGAATTTCTCCTCTTGTTACAAGTTGTCAATATACAGGGGTCGAATATTTCCTGTTATATGATATATATTTTGTACAGTTTAATCTGCAGTATCAATTCATTACAGCTATTCCGGAAATAATTTCTGGCTGTTTTCTGAACTTGCCCACTTGTTTTAAAATAAACAAGGATGAGAATGTTCTGCTATATGATATACATGTCATTAAAAGCGAAATCTGCAGCATCAATTTGTGTCTTTAAGGATGCGTTGTTTGAGAGTAATCAGCGACGACCTTTGACCTCAAGAAGTGATGTATCAACAGTGGTAGATTCAAATTCGGAGAGAAAACCAGTGCAGCGGAACAGAATTCCTACAGAGGCATGGCAGATAACCAAACGACATCTTCAGCTGACCACAGACGAAATCGCTGGACTCGGGGGCGGGGATAACCAGGGAGAGCATCACTCTGACCAGAAAATCCGGAATCGGTTCGGAACACAGCCATGGATGAATAGAAAGTACACACCAAATAGTTTCCAGAATCGTCACCAAGCACAACAACAAATTCTTGAGGAACAGCAACGACAACTCAAGGAACAACAGAAACTTATTCAGGAACTACAGTTTAATCAGAATCAACAGATGCTAGAACAACAGGGTAATACACAAAAACAATTGGCAGAGAGAATAACGCCTGAAAACCCACTGCAGATGACTAACAAAAGTAAAACGACAGTAAACAAACGACAACAGCATGCTAGATTAAACAACGGGGAAATTAGTGACAGACATCTGGACAGCAGAGCTGGTGTCACTGACAGGTATTTACTCCGCCCCTACTGGATACATTCTCGTTGTTACCGGATACATTTATTTCTTAGAGTTCTCCTTGTACATATTTCACAATAGATAATCGTTAATGTAAAATTTGGAAATTTTCACAATGTCCAAAGTAACTTCTTTTATTACTTGTCATTGAGTCAAACTCTTTTATCATATTGATTATATGGATATTAAGGAGGCACAGTAGTCTAGTGGTGGGACGCCGGGCTCGTGACCGAAGGGTTGCGGGTTAGAGTCACGTCACAGCACTGTGTTGTATCTTTGAACAAGATACTTTACTCTGTTTGTTCCAGTCTACTCAGCTGTAAATGAGTACGTGGTTTGGCAGTGCATAAATTGTTGAATGAGAGCTGTGAGCACCTAAATGGCAGCACCACCTAGGGAGTTAAGAAAGCTATTGGCTGGTTGCAAAGGCCCCATAACCACGGATAATAATTTGCGAACCGCTTTGAGACAACCTACAAACTAGATTATTATAATTATTATTATTATTATTATTGATTGTTTTTTTCATGGCTAGTGTTTTCAGCATTTTTTGCCTAGAGGAACCATTATATCCTAAAATCTTGATAATAATATAAGCTGGGGCTTATTTTTGTTTCGAGTAAGAAATCCCAGGCTGATTTTCAAGGCTGTCTTATTTTCAAAGTTATTTAGACTGTAAGTCTTCAAAGGCATATTTTCAAGTTGCATGAAAAAAGGTGATGTTGTAAGCTTTCTTTTATTAAAATGAAAGTTATTTCTTTTTTTAATCAAGTTGTTGCAATTATTAATCATGTAAGGTGATAGTTACTGCAAACCTGTTTAGGTCGACAGGTAAAATGTGGCTCCAACCATATTTCAAGATCGGCCTTCTGTTTCTGTTTTTCAGAAATGCTTTTGGTCCCTTAACGGAAAGGTCAGAGGTCACAGAGCCATCAGATGTTACAGAAAGGTCAGAGGTCACAGCAAGATCAGAGGTCACATCTGCTAGTAATGCTGCTGCCAAAAAGAATGACACTAAATACCTGGCTGTTTTGAAAAGTAATGATTATTAAACTTAGATTCTTGTTCTCGGGGAGTGGGATTTAAAAAAAGTGTTTCCAATTATTGTTTCAACTCATGTATTTTATGCCTGCTGAGAAATGTTTTGTCAGTTAATAGACACTCTTTGACTTCTTCATCCCTGAAGACACATTTGAACTCTTCCAATTCAAAGGTTGGCATAGTTCATTATGAAATTCCAGGGGTGAACGAGTTAAGGATCCTCGTACCACTGCCAAGAACTGTAACAAAGTAGTGGAGACTGTTTTTTCAGACATGGATATAGCTGTGATAAACCATTCCTGAGGAGAAAACCATACCATACAGGGAATTTAATGAAAATATAAGACGAAAGAAACGAAATCAAAAAATCAATAGTGTTCTGAATGTAAAAAATCAGTAGAGCTGGAGTGGGATTCCAACCCTAGACTTCAAACTGTTATAGTATTTTTGCGGGAACACCAACTATCCTCCACCACCAAAACCTGGTACATCCTTAAATGACCATAGCTGTTAATAGGACGTAAAACACAAACAAACCCAACCAATCCTATTAACAGCTAATGACATTAAAGGATGTCCAGGTTTTGGTGAATCCAGTAGAAACAGGAAGATGGGTGGGAGTTCAAAGACAAGACAGAATATGCCCACTCTGTAATACTGTAAAACACAAACAAACATGGGAGAACAGTAGGTGTACCATGAGTCAAACCCATGGATTAAGGTTTAACACTCATATTGACAGTACTGGGACAGTTTTTGACACAGTCTTTCAGTCTGTAGTTCTATAAATCGTGTGGTATACTGCAGGAAGAGTGCTCCTGGCTGTAACATAAAATTACGGTACTGTCTATTAATTGATAATTACAATTAAACAGTTAATAAGTCACTGAGTATTAGTCCCTCACTGGCCTGCAGATAGTAAGAAAATTGGACTGTTGTTAAAACAAATTTACAAAACTTCTCTGTTTGCTCTGCAGACATGGAAGACCGAGCAGCAGAGCGGTCGCGTCTTAAGGCGGAGAGGGAGGAAAAACGACGTCTAGAGGAGGAGGAAAACCTGGTATGATAAAGATGAAACAGAGTATTGTATTGTCTTTCCTTTTTTGATGCTATTTTCTTCACCCTCCCCCCACCAAACGAAGTCTGTGCAACTCCTTCTAAACCATGTTGGATTTCTTTGTGACTTTACACAGTGAAAGTACTTAATATGTACCCTGGTAGATGTGCATGAAGAAAGGAATTGGTGTTTTGACTCTTTTTCCTGGAGTTATGGCCCTTGAAACTTTAATTTCAGCTCCAGAATCATGGGCAGAACAAGCAGGGGGTAGATCTTTGTGAGCTTGCTCACAGTTTCTCTATTTTAATCCTGAAATGTCACCTACATGAATATATATAAGACAACACATTATGACATATACAACTGTGTAGTGTTACAATTTCCTGGGTTTTTTTTGTCCTATTATGATGGTGGAGACATTAAGGGTTATCCTTGAAACACAAACATACACAAGGGCCAAGTATTGGTGCTTCGCTCTTTACTCAATGTGCATTAAAAACATGGGGATATTTGGTCCTGTAAAGTCCTGGTATACAGAGCTGTGTCAAGAGGCCTAGGATTTCTACACACAATACTCAAGTTAACAAAACTGGAAAATGGTTGGTCAGGCACGTCAATCTGGCATATTGCTAGTTTTGTAGTCAAGACAAAGTCAGCACAAAGAACAGTACAGTAATATTTTGCTGAAATGATATAAACATTAGACTAAGTGTGTTTTGATCACTAAGTTTTAAAAAATGGTGATGGAAGTATGATGATTATTCATGAGATTTGTTGTTGTTGACAGAAACGTCTCAAAGCCGAGGAGGACATGTTGTTACAGCGAGATGCAGAAGAAAAGAGAGCTCGGGTTGCAGCACACAGGGAGAAGAAACGGCTAGAGAAGGAGGTAGTATGGAGTCAGAGGTCAAAGGACTCAATAGATAGCATGTGGTTCAGATAACTAGAGAAATATGTAGTCTGGAGGTCAAAGGTCAGGTGACTAGGAAAAAGTTTGTTTGGGATCAGAGGTCAAATGACTAAATATAAAGTGTGGGGGTCAGATGACTAGAGAAATATGAATTCTGGACGTCAAATGACTAGAGAATGAAATAGGCGATGGGTTTAGAGGATAAGACGAATATGTGGAGGAGAGATGGCCTGAAGGTCAGAGGTCAGTTCAGATGACTAGAGAAAATTGGTAGCTTGAATGCTCAAGGTCAGATGACAAGAAGCCTTGAGGTCAGAGGTTAGATGACTTGAGAGAAAAATTGCCTAAAGCTCACAGTCAAGCAACTAAGGAAATACGTAGGTAGCCTGAAGGTCAGAGGTGAAACAACTAAAAATAGAGGTGGCCTATGGGTTAGAGGTCAAAGGATAAAAGAAACAGATTCAACCCCTGATTTATTGAAATTATTAATCTGTAGTAAACATAAAACCCTATTCTATTTTTCCAGGTAGAGAAAGGTGAGTCTGTCAGACTAAATACTTAAGTTAGTGTTGTTAGCATGCATCCAGTTAGAGGAAGTTTATTTGGTCATTGTATTACAGCTTAACTTTATCTCCATTAATTTAAGCAATATTTCCAAACTGTCCTATTTGCAGATTTACAAAACAACCTCCATGCCCCCCCCCCCAATATCAGTGGGGGACATATAGTGTCACCCTTGTCTATCCTTTTTTGTTCATTCACTATTCATTGTAACAGCTCTAACAATTTTCATTCAAGATATTCATTAATGTGTATATCAGAGTAAAGGATGAGAATACCTCAGATAAGTGTGCATGGCACGGTCTTGAGGTCAATGCCAAGGTCACTGTTACTATTTATAGGTCAACCACTCCTGTTTCATCAACTAATTCATTATGATCAGCTTACTGACTTCTGGACAAAGTTTGATAACATTTTGTTCTTTCCAGAGAGAAACCCAGAAACAGCAGAGAGAGCAACATATGAAAGAACTAACAAAGAAAGCTGACGCCCACTACCTACGGGCCACACTCAAATACCGCTGCTTAGGACCATTCAAAAAATTGGTGGAGATGGCACGTAGAAATAAGGTCATGGCCGTCCGCCATCACAACAACAATCTGCAGAGGTAAAGGTCTTAATCTTGATCCTAAGCTAAACATTAGAGAAATTAAAACAACACAATGGCTGTTGTCTGGCGTACCTGGGATAAAAAAAAATATTTTTCATACATTACTGAATAACTATTAAAGGGTAAGAATAGCAGATCTTATTTTTTGGATTTACATGAGAAGATGGAACAACAAATTCAACAGTACGGGTCGTATTTTTAGCTCACCTGGCCCTGAAGCATGCTTAGGTGAAAAAATTCAATTTGTTTAATTTGTGGGAAATAGAGGAAAATTGGGACATAACATGGAAACTCGTTTTCTTGGTGTCTTTCCCACCAAAACAGATTTATATAAAACTTTGTTTATTGTACTCCTTTGATAAACCTGTATGGTACTCAGCAGGTTTTTAATTGAAAAATAGAATACCAGGTGAGCTATTAAGGCCCCTGGGCCTCATGTTAATAAAAAAAATGCTACTTAACAATGAAAAAGGAAATTAACAATGAGCAATACAATTGTGGCAGACAATAGCGGACAGAATATAACAATATTTAAGTAGTTATCTTCTTAGTATATGTACATGTATATAGATTGAAATGTATTTTGATAATCATGACTTCGAAATATCAAAAAAAAAATGTAGAATTCTTACTGAAGTGAAGTTCTGAATACCACTAATAAGAATAAAACGAAATACCGGTAGATATTAATTTACAATCCCTTTCAGAACTTTATAATACTTAAAGTTTTGCCTAAAAGTATACTTTAAGCATACTTTTTAGACTATAAGTCAAGTATGCTTAAAGTATTTTGATTTTGTATGCAAATTAGGTGTTAGTGTTAGGCTTTCAATTATACTTGAAGAGTACTTGAAGTATAAATGAAATATTGTCTGCATGATTTGTATTTAGAGAATACTTCAAGTATACTCACAAGTTCATTGATAAGTATACTTTCCTATGTATACTTGGAATATACTTATAAGCATACTTAGAGTATATGTATTTGTAAGTATACCTCATGCAAACTTGAAGCATTCTCCAAGTACACATCAGTAGCAAAGGATCCTGAAGCACAAAGCTATAATTTCTAGGTGTTGAATATTGGAACTATTTAAGCTTATATTTAGAGATTAACTTACCAGCAGTATGTCAGCAGCTGTCTCATTACACTGTAACTATATGATGACCGTCACAATATATCATAACATTACTGTGTTTTAGGACAGATCAATAGAATAATCCCAGTATTTTATGGTGGTGTGATAGTGATTTCTTGAACAATTATGTGGAACATTAAAGGCTTTGCCAACATCAATAAAAAAAAAAAAGAGATTTCTAGGCCTTTATGTAACTTTGCAGGAGATAAGTATGTAAAGAGATAGTTGAAATACAGTACATGTATAAATATGTTTCTGACAAAACTTTTGGTTGTTACAGACTAGCGTTGCAGTGCTGGCGTTCCAATGTCAAGGACATTGTTTCTCAGAAGGAGGCTACAGCTGACCAGATGTACAACTACTTCCTCGTCCGTCACTTTTTTTCTAACTGGAGAAACGTAAGATACATGATGTATTATTTTTCTCATCGGTCACTTCTCTTTAACTGGAAAAACGTAAAATAATTGAATTATTTCCTCATCTTTGACTTTCTTGATCTGTAATAGGGGAAATGTATGATCAATAGCATATATTTTACTGTATTTAAAAGTCACTAAAAGGAACTACTTAATACAGTAAAACTTGTTGACCTCTTAGTGTGAATTCTTGCTTTGAATATAACAAAGTCTTTTTTATGTGTCTGTGACAGAAGTTGTCTGCTGAGTATCAAATCCAGTGAGTTTTACTTTAAATTAGCAGAACATATGTCTTGGATCTTGTTCAGGGTTCATAAAAATTATGAATGTGTAACAGTTCTGGAGAATGTTTCTTCCCATCCCCATGTACACACAATCCAATCGTCCTTGTTTTATTGTAGTTTAAACACCATACAACTATAATGGAGGGACGGGCTCGGCGGATCCATCAGCGTAACACCAAGTGTAAGGTGCTCCGTGTCTGGTACGAATACGCCCAGGAAGAGAGGGGGAGGGGCGTGGCAAATCAACAGCTGGCAGATGACCACTATAGAAGGTGAGCAACTCAGATGTAAATAGATGGAGAATCTAGAGGCAATTATTAAAAGTATACATGTACAAGGTCAAAATTGTTTTGTAGAAATATGTAATGAGGACAAGGAAGACAAATTAACTACAGTTACTGTAACAGGAATGTATAAATGAACAAGCTTGACACCCAGGGAATGTAGATTTACTGTTGGGGCTTTTGGAAATTTCAATTATTTGCTATGAAAATATGGGTGGAGCTGGTAGAATCTTAAAAATTATCCTGACACTAGTACTCTAAATTCAAAAAGATTTTAAATCCCTGTGTTAGAGTGCCTCCTTGCCCCACTCCCAGATATTTTTACAACAAAACCTGATATTAAGATTTTTTAAGATTTTAAGGGCGTCTACGTATGCTTGTAATATCTGACATACTTTATGTCTCTGAAAGACTGGTTTCTGTCTATTTCATCCCGATATTAGATCCAGTTAAATTATTCAGATGCAATCAAATTTGTTACAACAAATTTATCAAAATACTCTCAGACCAACCAAATGATTCAATCAAAATACTCTCAGACCGACCAAATGATTCAATCAAAATACTCCCAGACCGACCAAATGAATCTATCAAAATACTCTCAGACCGACCAAATGATTCAATCAAAATACTCTCAGACCGACCAAATGATTCAATCAAAATACTCCCAGACCGACCAAATGATTCTATCAAAATACTCTCAGACCGACCAAATGATTCAATCAAAATACTCTCAGACCGACCAAATGATTCAATCAAAATACTCTCAGACCGACCAAATGATTCAATCAAAATACTCCCAGACCGACCAAATGATTCAATCAAAATACTCTCAGACCGACCAAATGATTCAATCAAAATACTCTCAGACCGACCAAATGATTCAATCAAAATACTCTCAGACCGACCAAATGATTCATTCAAAATACTCTCAGACCGACCAAATGATTCATTCAAAATACCAAAATACTCCCAGACCGACCAAATGATTCAATCAAAATACTCTCAGACCGACCAAATGATTCAATCAAAATACTCTCAGACCGACCAAATGATTCAATCAAAATACTCTCAGACCGACCAAATGATTCAATCAAAATACTCTCAGACCGACCAAATGATTCAATCAAAATACTCTCAGACCGACCAAATGATTCAATCAAAATACTCTCAGACCGACCAAATGATTCAATCAAAATACTCTCAGACCGACCAAATGATTCAATCAAAATACTCTCAGACCGACCAAATGATTCAATCAAAATACTCTCAGACCGACCAAATGATTCAATCAAAATACTCTCAGACCGACCAAATGATTCAATCAAAATACTCTCAGACAGACCAAATGATTCAATCAAAATACTCCCAGACCGACCAAATGATTCAATCAAAATACTCTCAGACAGACCAAATGATTCAATCAAAATACTCTCAGATCGACCAAATGATTCATTCAATCAATCAAAATACTCTCAGACCGACCAAATGATTCGGCTGTTTTTGATATTAAATGGTGAAGACAGATTTTACTGCTCAGTTATGGCTAGGTCTCCGTAGTGAATGAAGGGAGACAGACAGATTATATAATTTAGTACTGATTCTGTACTTCAAACATTATCTTGTCTGGCAGTTACTTTAAAACCATTAAAGATCTCTTGATGAAACTTGAAGTATACCTGCATCACCCATAGATGATGTCCAGTGCACTGTCATTATGTCATTGTGATCTTTACCTGGTCAAATATGTGCAATTTTTCCAGGAACATATTGTTGTCTGGGCTGTAACTTTTAAATCGTTAAAGACATCTAGATGAAACTTGAAGTATACCTCCATCACCCATAGACGATGTGCAGTGCATTGGCATTAGGTCTTAAAAAAGAGTATGATTGTTACAAACATATAAAGGTGTACGCTAAGGTGATGCCAACGGTCCCTCACTGTGTCTAATTTTGTTTAAACTTATTAGGCAAGTATATGATGGCATTGTAAACTCTATCCAAACACTATTTCCGGCTATGGGGTCAGTTTTGAGGGCTTCTTTAATGGCCCCCAATCATATACGTTTTATAATTAAGCAGTAAGCAGTTCCTCTAATAATAAGGTTGAATACATGTAAGTGCCAAATTGGAAGATATCCTGATAAAATTTGCAATACATCTGCCCCACCCACAGAAGATGTACAGTGCACTCCAGGTCAAAGGTCAAATAAGTGCAAAGTTTTCAGGAATATCTCGTCCTGGCAGTAATTTTTAAACTGTTAAAGGGAGACATACGTTTTTGTTCACGAAAACAGATCTCTAGTTTGTAACATTTATTTTTTCCGTTTGCCAGGTCTCTGCTGAAAAAGACATTCAAAACTATAAAGGATTACCCACTAGAACGCAAGAGAGCAATTGCTCGTGAGAAGAGAAGGGCAGATATGAGGGAAAAAGTGGCCGCTCTAATACCTGATTACGAGGCCATAGAGATAAGGAAAAGTTCAACAGATTTCTCCTGATACCAGCCTGGAAGTATCAAACAAATATGAGACTACAAAAGATTTGAAATTTCTTATACCGATACAAGGTGGAAGGGATTAGGCTAGATTGAGTGGACCTCAAATAGAAAATTTGCTAGACTTATAACTCTCTACAAGCCAGACCATGTCTATGTCAAACGGAAGGCTATAGTGTTAGGGCCTTTCTGCTGATTTCTCCTGATACAATCTGGAGAGCAGTCATGCTATATGTGATTGTACTTCACAGCCTGGTGGAAAGAGTGGCAAATATGGACTTTTCTATTTGTTACAAGGTTTACTAACTACTTGACATTTACATATCAATTTTATAAATAATTTATTATTTGTTTCTGTGTTGTGTTTTATTTGTACATAATATTTGATTTAAATCAATAACCAAATAAATGTAAGTGGATTTCCTAGTGGACACTGTTTGGATCATACAACATCATGCTGTTCAAGTACTCCCATCACATGAGAGGCCGCTGGTCGGCTTTTTTTCAATCGGATATGATTTTGCCGACTGCGACTGTCAAAAGTTTTTCGCCGTGTAAAACCTCTAACATTGTTGGAGTAGCTGTTCAAGTAATCTGGAACTGACTGTGGCCGCATTTGTTTATCACGCTCCAAACAGTTGGACCAGAGCTGTTCTTTAATGAAATAAGGTTGGACCTAGAAATCTGATGCTGCTTTCAGACAAACCTTGAAAATGTGCAGGTCCGCCAGGATTTATACCCAAAACAACTACCGTCAAACATCTGTCAGAAACCATCTTGGAATTTCCATAAAGTTTGTCCATTTATGCGGAACAACTGGTTTGGCTGCTTTTTAAATGTAACATTGTCGGGTATAAATGTTGGCGGACCTGCAAATGTTTATGCAGGCCTTTCAAGGCTTTGTCAACACTGGTCTAACCGGTTACACCGTTTGGATTAAGATAAATGAATGCAGCCTTGGCCATAAGGGGATTCATCAGGTTATATACGTAGCATGTGGCTTAGAGTTTTATCTTGATCACATATCATGATATAAAACAAAGTCATGTTATTTATTGTTTAATATTTGTTTTTATTATATCATAATATTTATATAAATATTTCTTTTCATGTACTATATTTAACTTATAAAATAAGTTTGTGGGCTTATTTCCAGATAGTTACGATATATATAAAATATTTCAACATTTCTACATAATCATTCATACTCCAGACAAAACAATCATACAAAATCCATCTTACTGACATACGCTTTACAACCATACAATAATACCCTAGTGTCAGCCATACATAATGAGTTTAATGTTTTCTTTCTTTGCATAATAACACATCACGACTATTGAAAAATAAATTAAAAAAAACAATGTAAAATATGGACTTAAAAACTTGTGTAGCACTACAAAGACGATTAAAATTGAAATCTAGTGATCAAGACATGACATTCTTCTGAACAGATCTCTCTTTCAATATAAAAATACATGTTATCAGTTCATGTTGGTATAGAGATAGGTTACACAGAGCGATGTGTGGTTGTAGAATTATTCCTTCAATCACAGGGTCCAACTTGACACCTAAATGTAAGCAGATGTGAAGAAATTTCCAGTCATTGTTGTCTTCAGGAATATTATCTTTGAAATCCATAGATTCCAATCTCATTAACAATTAGTCACCTGTATTTCACTGAGCTGAAGGATCCCTGTCCCACTGTACTGTACATATTAACAGTAACCTTGGTCAGTGATGAATATGTTGTTAAAATGTTACTGACCGGTGAGACAACTCTTATATCCTGTCCAGTTATCACACTTGACCATACGATGACCACACCTTACTACTGGCCTGTTAAGACTCTCATCATGCTGTACTATACTATATTCTAGTCATGGTCAAGTGCCTATGGTCAAGTTTACCTCCCACATCTTCAAAGAAATGAGAATTGCGGGAACTTTCTCGACCCTATTCAAGTTTTGGAACACTTTTCTATGAACAAAACTTTACTCTGTCCATATTATCACAGGTACATACGTTCAAGCAAACTTTCTATAAAATATCACAGAAACCTATTTCTAAGTTCCAATCACTTGAAATGTCCTTTCTGTTATTAGGAGCTCCTCACTTTAACCTTGACATATGCTTCTAAGCACCTTGCTGACTATAACCTTGCCCTCTTCATGATGACCTTGACCTCTATGTGCGTAGCCGGCGGAGTGGTTTTGCGTAGTGTGGCTCCATGACGTGGGTTGTTAGGTAGGCAACCAGTCCAATTAACAGGAAGAGGCCACATCCAGCGATTAGTAACGACCGGTAGATAATCGAATAATCATATACCTGTTGGAAAATATAAGTTATTTTATTGGTTTTGTTTCTGTATTGTTTTACAGCAAAAATATCAGAATTAATTGGTTATGAGGTGTCAAATTGTTTTAGTTTTTGTGTTGCTTTACGGCCAATTGACAATTGTCATTTATGGCCAAACAACACAGAAAATACACATTTACAAACTTAAACTAAGATTTAAATGTTCAAAGATGGAAAAAATTTCAATAGCAAACAAATTTGTTGCAAAACATGATGTCATATCATCGTTTTTACAACCAAATCTTTTGCTATTGTTGATAATAAAACACTCATAAATTTCAAAAGAAAATTTGATCCTCGTAATTTTAAAATGAATGTGAGGTGTTAAGTTTCCAAAAGGATTTGTAAACGCGTTACTTCCCTTTAACTACATCTATTCCCTATTCCATATGTGCTACCATGTTTTCAATTTTTCAGTTGATTAAATAGCAATTGATAAATTTCACAAACAAGGTTGAAAACAAGTGACAGAGCAAGTGCGGTTTTTCAAACACCATGCCATCCCCCCCCCCCCAAAAAAAGTCTACCAAGTAAAATGTAACAAAAGATTTTTTATACCCAAAAGAAATAATTAACAGGACTGCATGAACATGCTGTTGAATATATAATGAGGGTGAGAATTGTAGAATTAAAAATTGTATTAAAAAAATTCAGCCTGAGGTTAATATCAAATCAAGAGTTTCATATTCCACAATCATTCATGCACACGTTGCAGTTATTTTGATTGAAGCTTCATTTTTCAGAGGTTTTCTCCTACAAACATATGTTGATTATATCTATTCTACCACATCAAAATGTACTTTTATGTCTGTATTTATAGGGCAACGTAACCTAGATTGAAATATTGGTCTGATATAAAGATTTGAGAAGAACATTTGAATTGAACAGGTCAGTCTAGGCCTGAATTAACATCTGCAGGAACAAACAGGTTAGTTCCCATAAACTTACTATGTCTAGGACTCCTTGCCCTTTCACCCGTAGGAAACTTTAGTAGACTTTACCATACATTTATCTGGATGAGTCCGTTATGGTCTACATTAGTGAAAGGGTTAATTCCCAACATTCAACTTCAAGTCAATCTAAGTTATAACTGGTTAGAACGTACCACAACAGATTCTTCCGCAGATGCTGTAAGCGGTTCCCTTGGTAACACCACAAGAATAACTGTCAGGAGCAACGCCAAAAGGACTGTCACAATGCCAAGGTTTCTGTTGAGACAAAATAGAATAAGGAAATGTAGACAGTTTTTAGAAGAAGCACTGTTCCTGTTCTTGCTATAAACTCAATATTCATAACTTCAGAATGTAACTCATACATATTTATTACCTGGTAATTACATATTCATTATTAAAGAACCATACAATTTATTGAATATTCATTACTTCAGTTAAATACTGGTCTAGGTTTTGTGAGAAAAGAGAAGTACTTTCATACTTAAAATTTTAGAGAAATCTGAGGTGATCGAATAATTTTAACTCAAATTTGAAGAAATTTGATGATTTGTGTTAAACCAATGCCTGCCCATTGGTAAATGTAACATCATACAAGATTCAGAGTTCACAGTCATCCACAGATATTTTTTTTATTAATGTAGAGGTGTTATATCTTTACTACTCTTTTGAAGAGTATATTCCAATATTCCTTCAGAATATATCTGATTTTTTTTTTTTATTATATATATATATATGACCACTGCCAACTTCTAGCTTACTGCTAGAGGAATTTCCCATAAGCTCAAGTATTAAAGCAGCTGACTGAGGAGCTGGGGGCACTAGTTTGATCCCTGATGGAGGCACACTACTATCTTTCTAGTTCGCTAAAACTGACCATAATCGCAGGCTAAAATAATCTGATCAGTAGCCTATTTATGGTCAGCTATCAACTGCTCTTTAAAATGCAGGGATTGTCGTCGAAATCTGAGCACCTCAATTGAATGAAACGATGTAGCGTCCATATTGTATCGAGTACGGACATGACATCAAGTCAAGTGAGTGAGAAATGAATCAACTGAAATATCATGTCGTCAGATTTCGACAAAAATCCCCGCATTTTAAAGAGCAGTCAATATCTGACCATAAACAGGCTACTGATCAGATTATTTTAGCCTGCGATTATGGTCAGTTCTAGCGGACTAGAAAGATAGTAGTGTGCGGACTACTATCTTCCCTGTGGTCATGGTGATGATGTTGATTCTGTGATGACGGGGAGTTAGAGACGTGATTGTAGTGGTGTTCAGGGGCGAGTAGTTTGGCAGTGTATATGTATGTCATGGTCGACTTCTAGTTTCAGAACACTTGTTTATTTACTGTATAGCTTATATTTACAATGTTAAAAATGTCAATTGTACAACAGGTATATTAAACATAATAGTTCAATTTAAATTTCCTCACCATCTACAAAAAGTTGCACACTTTCACAAACGTATACTGCCCAAGAACTGTCCCTATTTTAAAAAGTAGGTTTAGTAAATTCTGAATGCTGGACAAATCCCTGCTGGTGGAGGTACTAGCATTTTTTATTTCTCAGAAATTTTAATTTTAAGATGAATTTATAGCAGATTCTTTTAAGTGTCTTCATTTAACCTTACAATTGTTGGTCAAAGTAAAAACTTTGGTGTTCTAGCACGGAATTAGATTAGAGGGTGCTATCTAAGTCCGTGGTACTAGTGTTAGGCCTATTTGTATTACAACAGTACACAAATCGTATATCTATCTCGAAAACCAAGAAATAACGTGACCGTCTTGTCCCAACCTGTCATGAGCTGGGCGGAGGGAGTGAAACGACTTATATAAACTTACGATGCAGCTCCTTGAGCTCGTGACATGGATAAACAGAGAAGCAATGCGAGGCCCCAGACGATGCCAAGCACCATCACGCCTATTCCAACCCCTGCGACGAGGACCATTTTTCATGCAGAGTCGGTTCCCCGCTTCCAATGTCAACAAATATGGCTGACCCAACTCCCGTAACAGAAGCTTGCTGTGATTGGATAATATGTTCTAAATCGAGCCAATCAAATTCTACAATACAAACCATTTATCAGCAGGTGCGTTCGATGAAGAAATGTTTCAATCAGGACTCGCCAGTGAATGTTGTTGGAAAACGAGAAGTGGGGGACTGCAATACAATGCCCAGTTTACTCATCTATATGACTTTTCCGGTATAATCAGATTCAGATATCATTATTGCAATAACTCCGCCCTTTCAAATCCAACCTTAATGGCATTAGCATTTATATAACCATTTACGCGGAACAATTGGTTGGTTGGTTCACGGACTTAGATAATCTAAATCCGTGGTTGGTTGAAGGTTTTGCACCTACATGAATCCGCCCTTACGGGTTTCATCTCACTGATGGCAGTCGGTGTCCTGTCGGCGTTATGCGGAACAACCGGTTTGTCCGTTTATAATGTAACAATTTCGGGTATATATGCAGGTCTTGCGAGGCTTTGTCAAGGCTCTCCTGAAAGCAGCATCCGATTACTAGGTCCGACCTTATTTAATAAACGAACAACTGTTGTCCGACCGGTTTGGCCGTTTAACCATTTGAGTGCCACAGGATTCTCCTTAGAGAGTGCCAAGCCAAATTCTGATCAAAATGTGATTTGAAAATATATGGCATAGAACAATTCAACAATGGGCCAAGCGATGACGTCACGTCATTATGCCAACCTGAAGTCTCCAGAAAGAAACTCGGTACAAAACGGATTTTTTTTCAACGGTGTATGTTGGTAAATGTGTCAATGTACAACCAAAAAATCGCGTTACAAGTGTGTCTACCAATTTGTCCAAACAGAAAACCAGAAAGCATGCATAGTAATAATGAAATGTATATTAATTTAGTCTTCACGGCGGCATCTGTGTCTTGGTAGACATCACGGAAACACCTAGAGCATGCCGTACTCGCACGGCGCCTCCCATTGTCCCTGACACGCGAGCAGACCACAGACGATACTCCTTCTGCTGATGAAAACGGCCGAGATGTAATTCCGACTCAGAGGTTACTTCTTTGTTTTTGATTCACGATTTTTTAATGATAAACGCTTCCTTAAATGGAAAATACAGAAACTATATACCGTTAAAAGTTGCAAAGAGAACAAACCTATACACATGCTTCCCATCACATATAATGCATAAATGCTCAGGTTTACATTATCAAAAGGCATGCTTGAAGTTCCTTTGTCGACCTAACGGTTTTCAGGCCGTTTATTAAACTTCTGAAGTATTAAAATATGATTATTGTATACGCATTACGCGATAGACATTTTACTGAAATCCGGACACAGATGTAACAAGAAAAGCCAACAACAAATAATAAATAACTATATGAAGAATATATAAATAGATAAAAACATCAAAATCTTAATACCCCCCACAACTTTCTGTTTAAGATTGTGATGGAACATTAAAAATATGCTCTTTTGGCCTATTGTAATAATATGATCCTACTTTTTAAATGTGTGATATTTATAATTTGCCTACATGCGGACCGGCTGTGATTACAATATCAAGTGGTAATTCTAAGGGAAATTATCCGGATTTTATTATCATATTTCCTTCGTTCACTAGCCGATGACTAGTATAAATAGTTTGATGTTAAAAACAACAATTGTTAATTATATGCGGACGAAAATTTTAAGTAGACCAAAAAAGTTCATGTTTAGCGGACTGTTCCTATACGTTATATCGAATCTAGCAAAACGTAATAAAATAAAATAATACTAATAATATGTATGCCATCATGACTTAAATATGCATGTATCATGTTTGTTATCTTAATGAAGGATTCTTAGTATTTTATAGTATAACTGATGTAGTCTGTTAAGAAAGAAATAATGTTGAAAATAAATGAAGAAGGACGACCGTACGTTGACATTTTAACTTTAGACTAACCTCACACGGTAATCCATACTACACATACACGTCCCGATCCTGTGTCTTACTATGTTTAGTACGACCCCCATATGGTACTTGTACGTCCCGACCTCTCAGTCTTAAACAGAGGGAAAGACGTGTCCTGTCGGCGATATCATCTCGCCACTGGCCAGTAAGGTTACCTCGATTGTCTTTCATTGATAGTGAGCTTCATTCTTCAACCATTCCGACTGCCCAGTGATGTTTTATTAAAACCGCCTTTTCCCAACATATTGCGGTCGATTTACTGTTAATTTTCGTTGTTCATGTAATACAAGAAGGTATTTTGTAAAACGTCGACCATTCGCGATAAATCGAGGACGACCATACCACTGGAGTACCGAGGATGAACGTCGACATGTTTGAGACTTAATGTTATGGATTCCACCGACAATTCTGTCTAGTGCTTCCCATGAATAGCTTATTGGAAACTAACGCAAATTTTTAAAACGAGAAAATTCTCATTAATCTTTATATTCTATCATATTTGGTGTGTTTATTGTCAAACGACATGTATATTAATTCCATAAACATGTATACTTACCTTATGTAATTGAATGTTTATTAGATAAATATGCGTGAATAACATTCGTGTCTTCTCTGAAAGCTAACCAGTCATTTCATAATTGGTCTGACTAAGGTAAACAAACAAACCCGCCTTGCGTTAATATATAGATTCATCCAGCTCATTGGCGCGGTTACCTTAAATCTTGAGAATAATAGGATGACACAGGAATTGGATGTAAACAAATATGGCTAATAAATAACCAGACCGGATACCATCCACTTAACTATCTGTTGAACTGTAGGACGTTTTAAACAAAATCATAATTACTGTACAGAAACTAAGAACAGATATCTGTACGTATCATGGGTATTTTAGGGGTTTTATATATTAAACAAGCAATAAAAAACGTTCTTTAATTATAATTAAAAACAAAGATGAATAGAAATGGGAGAAAAAACAATACAAAGGGCAATGATTCATTTTTATATATTTTCTTGCCAATTCTGTACATTTCACCAATCAATGTTTTATGATCTATGAAAAATGATACAATTTTTTAATAGAATATTAAGTTTGTTTGCCCTCATTTCTAAAATAGAAGGAATACAGTAAAAGAGTTGCCTCCCTTCTGTCAATAGATTTTTTTCTCCAAAAAAATCTCTTAAAACAATTAATCTTACGTGAGACTTAACCTACCAAAATATCAGTTTTCAGTAATGAGTGTTGTAATAACTCTCATACATGATTTATTAATTGTACTCAATGCAGATCCGAAACTCGGAGGACGCCGAGCATGGCAGGGGAGGGAGTAAGGGAGGGTAGATTTAAGCAGTAATGTACGATTTTCCTCAACTATACGATCGATATAATGAGTTGGCGGAAAAGAAAGAGCAGGGGAGGAGGTAACTTGTAAAATTGTTACCTGTAAAATTGTTACCTGTAAAATTGTTACCTGTAAAACTGTTAACTGTAAAACTGTTACCTGTAAAACTGTTACCTGTAAAATTGTTACCTGCAAAATTGACTGAACAATCTGTAAAATCAATTTTCTCATGTGGATAGAAACAAAGAAAACTTTTATCTTTTATAAGATTTGCAACTTCTGTCGCGGCGCAACCTATTGGAGAAATAACCGTTACAATCAATGAACCATACTTACTGACTTTAGGTAGCAGTCTTTGGTCCTGTTCACTGACAGTCATCTTTTGTATTTCTTATTCCTCGCCTTACTCTTCGCAGAAATCTTTTTACCGATCGGTGCCTTCCTTATGTTTCAGGATATTATCCGTCAAATTTACCATTACGCATTCGCTCACGCTCATTTACTTCAGAATGATAGAATTTCTGTTTAAATTCTGTTTAAAAGCGTATTTCCTTCAACATGACTATTTTCAGAGCTAACAGCCACCATAGTTTTGAACCAGGACATCCAAGAAACAATTAATTTCATCATTTCTTTAATATTGCGCACATTCATGTGAAAAAAATATATCAATTTCATATTGTCTATCACTGTTGCTTATTGGTGTAACTGCTATGTGGTTATCTATCGGTATTTCTATATAACTGTGGACATCCCTGTGATAATGTCTATCGGTATTTCTATATAACTGTGGAAATCCCTGTGATAATGTCTATCAGTATTTCTATATATAACTGTGGACATACCTGTGATAATGTCTATCAGTAATTCTCTATAACTGTGGACATCCCTGTGATAATGTCTATCAGTATTTCTATATATACCTGTGGACATCCCTGTGATAATGTCTATCAGTATTTCTATATATAACTGTGGACATCCCTGTGATAATGTCTATCAGTAATTCTCTATAACTGTGGACATCCCTGTGATAATGTCTATCAGTATTTCTATATAACTGTGGACATCCCTGTGATAATGTCTATCAATATTTCTATATAACTGTGGACATCCCTGCGATAATGTCTATCAGTATTTCTATATAACTGTGGACATCCCTGTGATAATGTCTATCAGTATTTATATAACTGTGGACCTATCAGTATTTCTATATCACTTTGGACATCCCAGTGTTAATGTCTATCAGTATTTCTATAGGACTGTGGACATCCCTGTGACAATGTCTATCAATATTTCTATATAACTGTGGACATCCCTGTGATAATGTCTATCGGTATTCCTACATAACTATTGACATCCCTGTGATAATGTCTATCAGTATTTCTATATCACTTTGGACATCCCAGTGATAATGTCTATCAGTATTTCTATATAACTGTGGACATCCTGTGATAATGTCTATCAGTATTTATATAACTGTGGACATCCCTGTGATAATGTCTATATCCCTGTGATAATGTCCATCATTATTTCTAGATAACTGTGGACATCCTGTGATAATGTCTATCGGTATTCCTACATAACTATTGAAATCCCTGTGATAATGTCCATCATTATTTCTAGATAACTGTGGACATCACTGTGATAATGTCTATATCCCTGTGATAATGGCTATCAGTATTTATATAACGGTGGACATCCCTGTGATAATATCTATCAGTATTTCTATATAACTACGGACATCCCTGTGATAATGTCTATCAATATTTATATAACTGTGGACATCCCTGTGATAATGTCTATCAGTATTTCTATATAACTGTGGACATCCCTGTTATAATGTCTATCGGTATCTCTATATAACTGTGGACATCCCTGTTATAATGTCTATCGGTATCTCTATATAACTGTGGACACCCCTGTGATAATGTCTATCAGTATTTCTATATAACTATTGACATCCCTGTGATAATGTCTATCAGTAATTCTATATAACTATGGACATCCCTGTGATAATGTCTATTAGTATTTCTATTTAACTGTGGACATCTCTGTGATACTGTCTATCAGTATTTCTATATAACTTTGGACATCCCTGTGATAATGTCTATTAGTATTTCTATTTAACTGTGGACATCTCTGTGATACTGTCTATCAGTATTTCTATATAACTGTTGACATCTCTGTGATAATATCTATCAGTATTTCTATATATAACTGTGGACATCCCTGTCATAATGTCTATCAGTATTTCTATATAATTGTGGACATCCCTGCGATAATGTCTATCAGTATTTCTATATAAATGTGGAAATCCCTGTGATAATGTCTATCAGTATTTTTATATAACTGTGGACATCCCTATGATAATGTCTATCAGTATTTCTATATCACTGTGGACATCCCTGTGATAATATCTATCAGTATTTCTATATAACTGTTGACATCTCTGTGATAATATCTATCAGTATTTCTATATAACTGTGGAAGTCCCAGTGATAATGTCTATCAGTATTTCTAGATAACTGTGGACATCCCTGTGATAATCTCTATCAGTATTTCTATATAACTGTGGACACCCCTGTGATAATGTCTATCAGTATTTATATATAACTGTGGACATCCCTGTCATAATGTCTATCAGTATTTCTATATAATTGTGGACATCCCTGCGATAATGTCTATCAGTATTTCTATATAACTGTGGACACCCCTGTGATAATGTCTATCAGTATTTATATATAACTGTGGACATCCCTGTGATAATCTCTATCAGTATTTCTATATAACTGTTGACATCTCTGTGATAATATCTATCAGTATTTCTATATAACTGTGGCCATCCCTGTGATAATGTCTATCAGTAATTCTATATAACTATGGACATCCCTGTGATAATGTCCATCGGTATCTCTATATAACTGTGGACACCCCTGTGATAATGTCTATCAGTATTTCTATATAACTTTGGACATCCCTGTGATAATGTCTATTAGTATTTCTATATAACTGTGGACATCTCTGTGATACTGTCTATCAGTATTTCTATATAACTGTGGACATCCCTGTGATAATGTCTATCAGTATTTCTATATAACTGTGGACATCCCTGTGATACTGTCTATCAGTATCTCTATATACCTGTGGACATCCCTGTGATAATGTCTATCGGTATTTCTATATAACTGTGGACATCCCTGTGATAATGTCCTGTGATAATGTCTATCAGTATTTCTATATAACTATGGACATCCCTGTGATAATGTCCATCAGTATTTCTATATACCTGTGGACATCCCTGTGATAATGTCTATCGGTATCTCTATATAACTGTGGACATCCCTGTGATAATGTCTATCAGTATTTTTATATAACTGTGGACATCCCTATGATAATGTCTATCAGTATTTCTATATAACTGTGGACATCCCTGTGATAATGTCTATCAGTATCTCTATATAACTGTGGACATCCCTGTGACAATGTCAATCAGTATTTCTATATAACTGTGGATATCCCTGTAATAATGTCTATCGGTATCTCTATATAACTGTGGACATCCCTGTGACAATGTCAATCAGTATTTCTATATAACTGTGGATATCCCTGTGATAATGTCTATCGGTATTTCTATATAACTGTGGATATCCCTGTGATAATGTCTATCGGTATTTCTATGTAACTGTGGACATCCCTGTGATAATGTCCATCAGTATTTCTATATAACTGTGGACATCCCTGTGATAATGTCTATCGTTATCTCTATATAACTGTGGACATCCCTGTGATAATGTCTATCAGTATTTCTATATAACTGTGGACATCCCTGTGATAATGTCTATCATTATTTCATTCCAGCCTCATCCGTCCCTATAAGGACATGCCCTTGAGAATGTTCATCAGTTTTTCAAACAAATATTTTTTTGTCAAAGATGGAAGACCTAACATATTTCAGTAATTTTTATAACATACTATGCGAATGTTAATTACTTACGTTCGGTCTGTGCAATCTAGTATCAATTCGTGTCGACATTTCATTACGTCATCAAACCAGTTTATATAAATTCACTATGATAATAAATCCGAGGACCACAAATATGTCTGTCATAAACGTGTAATGTATGTATGAACAGCAGCAAGTGTGATGTTAAACTAAACTGCCTTTATAAGCCCTCACGGAGGTTTTGTTTTTCGGGAAAATAGGAACCAAGTAGCTATGCTTCCTCAGCCGTTGTCGTAGTTCAATCTTATCTTTCGAATCAGTTCGATTCTTTGTCCATTTTGTGTACCCTTCTATCTTGATAGGCGTCGCTCTTTGATACTTCGTATATAGCAAAGATTGAAAAAATAAAACTATGGCAAGTCATGAAGGTCAAACACATGGAAAAATGTCAGTCAAAAGTACGTTGCGTCATTTCCGGTTCCTGAATGTTTGTGTTGTTTTCGATGATGTCTCAACATTTTCTTTCTAAGTGAAAATACCACGAACAAAAAAAAACACATTTGATATGGATTATGCTTGCGTGATATAGGTCAGTTATCCAATGTCAAAGGTAAACTGTAAAGGTCAAAGTTCATACAGTGCAAAGAGAACAACGATAAAACCGAAAAGATATTTCAAAATATTTCATTTTATTTACATTGATTTAGTTCAACACCAACGTATTTACATTGGAAGAAAACAATACAATTTCAACGAAAACAACAATACATATTGTCACTTGGCAATCATAAACAATCGAGTAATAACACAATCGTCGAGTACTTGTCATTTTATAAATAAACAAAACTATAACCCGCATGATAATTACAAATAAAAACAACAATAAAAAGCAGCAAACAGCTGAAATCTTCTTACACTCTGCAAACGGAAATTTGTGAATTCACTGATTTTCAGTTTCGTTCCCTGAATGAATGAACACGCTATTTCTACAACTCGCTCCTTTACGATATGATAATGTATTAGACGAAATTTATGGTGGAATAAAGATATTAATGAATAGATATTAATTAATGAAATACAATGTGACAGGTTCATCGTTCTGACCCATTATGTCTGTCGATAGGTACTTTTCTGACCGTGTCTGACCGCTGTAAGAACGCGGAGATTTTATGAAAATCACATGAACAGGACAAATACCATGGTTTCGGATCTGATGTCTATCACGATTTGAATATTTGATTAAGGTAAAAAGAATCAACAAGTAAGACTATATACTTGTCACTACTGTGGATTATTTCTTTAAGTCCATTTCGAAAGAAATACTCCATAAAAATGAAATGTTGTGATACATTTCACAGAATTGTAGTTTGAAATTTGAAAGTTTGAAAATAGAAATTAAAAAAATAAACAGTAGCGGTCGGACTCGTGATCTTAACTTTACAAAGCCTACACCTCGCCAATGTTGCATACAGGAATTATTCTAGCAGTGGGCCTCAAAGCACATGGAAAACTTGACAAGGGAAGTTACTCTAACCAGAAAAATCCTTTTGGTTGCTTCATCTTCTACATAAAAGGGAGATTACTCTAAGTAAACAAACTCTGACTGAAACTATTCTTTGCGATAACAACGGATAAAGTGGTATCCTGTACCTTGAAATCCGATTCGTCCGAGATTATGTTCACGGATATTTCAACTAGTAACATGAGTACCACATAAAAACAGGATTTTCCCATAGATACTGTAAATAAGTGTTTCCGAGAACGAATCAAAGTTCCTGCTACATTGCCCTCGTTATACCAACAGAGGTCTGAGTCATCAACGGCAAACAATAATAATCATAATCAGATAAGATTATAACAAATAATAAACTGCTAAAGAAATATGCCAGCTTATAAAAAAATGACCTTTTCCCGTACGAAACGATAGTTTTGGAATCACAAATCGGTTAAACATGAGCCTCAATGTATTGTTGCAAGCAATTTGTAATAGAAACATCAAAGTTAAATCTATTGGCCAATATTGGATCGGCAATTAAGATAAACGGGTCTGTAAATATTTATATTAAAGTTTTGGATATTCGATTTATTTTATATATTGAGTCAATAATTTGGTTTTTATGTGTTTTTATTACAAATTGCGTGGTGCAAATATGAACGTCAAAGTGACATACATTCAACATCTGACGAGTTGAACTTAAGAAGTGATACAAACGGTTACTATACAAAGCTGTTCAGGAATCAGTCTGATTCTATCGTTAATTCTACATCGCTGATTCAACAAAAACAAACACAACCCAATATACTTTTCTCTAAAAAAATGAAGAAGAAAAAAACAATTAATGAAAAAAAATGAGCATGAATCACCCGTATTATAGGGCCAAACAATCGGCAATTGTCGGCTGATTCCGTAACGTTTACGCTTGGCATGGATTGACCGATATTTGACCAAAAATATTCAAATATAACATGAAACCCTTCTCAAAATGTTACAATTTTCCATCTCATCAGAAAGTTTCACTGCTTTGAAAAGATTACCAATTTGTGGTTTTTCCGTAAACATCACGGAAAGTGACGGAAATGTACGAATGATATTCAGTTAAATAATATAAATCCAACACCCGTCTGACTATGAAACAGTCGAATAAATCAGACAACCATTACAGATGCCGACATATCTGCGGATATGTTGATCCTCAGGGTTTGTCGGGGACAGTACAAGCAAAGCAAGTTATGCAAACGTTACAATGTCACGTGCTTGGTAGTCTGTACAACAAACGACAAAAAAGACACTAAAATGGGCCGGATCTGTTTTTCCGTATCAACGGTGATCTCCACAAGGGGAGATAATTCAAGTGGAAAAACAGAGTCCAGTTCTGTGGTGACCAAAGCTGCATTGTTTTGCATGGTGGCGTCAAGTACAACGGGAACAAAATATGGACATATGCTCCAAGCTTGTATTTGCGCATGCGTCGGACAAAGGAATTGTCGAATGGAATGTTGAGAAATTCCGGGCAAACACTCTCAAGCTACATCAAGGGAGGATCAGGATACTGAACTCGTGCATGGCTTGTCGGAGTTCTGTGAATAAAAATAATAATATGAAAATGTGTGGTTCCTATAGAGGCAAAGGCAAACAGTTATTACGCGTAAAGATCCAAAGTATAGGGTCTGTTATAATTATATTATTTATCAAGGGAAATAACTCTTCAGAAAGCACGCAGGGGTAATATCGCTGTCGCAGAACGCGCCTTTCTGTAGGTCGAGATGGAATAACTCTAGAATTCTTTGAAAAACTAAAGAACGTACAATTTTTCTGCTTCCAAATCAGATATTTTCAGGAGTATTGGTTTATGATCATATAGGCCAAACGGTATTGAGTCCGTGTAAGTGAAATACGAGATGTTTTTAAGAACGTGCGAATATGTGCCTATGGAATTACATCTGATTCTACTTCTTTATTTATTAACTTCTCATCAGCACTAACTGACGGGTTATTATTTTGCCATCCGTGTTTCAATCAGTCGCTCAGTCCGTCTGTCAGTCAGTCTGACCTAATTACGACCAGACGCAATAATAGACGACCTTGACCTACTGACCTTGGTGGCTTAACCGGCGATCGGAATCATTGTCACAGCAGCTGAAGAAGTGATCAGCGAGTCGAATGGCTGTATCGTTATTGATGCCGTGAGCTAGAAGTTGAATCTTTGTTTCCTGTTCCGTTAACGCTTCCCCTCCCACGCTATTAATCATCTGATCCGCCATGATGTTCACCAGAGATTCGTAATGTTCATTTCCATAACGCTGTAGAAAAAGAAGAAGAAAAAAGCTGTTTAGATACGTTCGACTGATTTGCTAGGACAAAGTTTATGTCAACGTCTAGTTGGAATTTTATTTTTCTTGTTATCTTTTTAAAAATTGTTTCAGGAACAACGATTATCGAGTGTTATCAACGAAAATGTAAATCGGATTCTTGATCTACATTCGTAACATGTATCGACACTTAAGGATGCAGCCAACTTTACAAGTGATTTGTGTTAGAGTTATCTCCCTTTTGGTTAACATTACTTAATTCTAGCTTATTCTTATTTCATCAACATACTAAGATGGCCTTAATATCGAAATTTGAATTTGACCCCAATGACCTTGATATTAAGCTCACCTTCAATTCAATTCATTTAATCTGTAAAGCCTTACGGCTTATGAGGTATATGCCATATAACATGATACATGTAGTTATAATTTGTTCAAAGTTCATATAGTTGTTCAGGAGAGTGACAATTGTAAATTGATACATGCACACACTCTGGAAACATGCGCGTAGACACGTGATATGTCTCACCTTCACGAGACTTCTCCTGAAGAGTTGATGGAGAGGGATCGAGAGAACTGACGACGTCATACAGGTAACTAAGATGAGACGGAGCATCATATCGTAATGTGTATTAATCTGCAAGAAACAAAAATTAGGATAAAAAATAAAGCAAAAATTGTGATTTTCATACGGTATTATATCCCAACTCAACTATGTAAACTTTCTAAAGCCGGATACTTTGAATAACGAACGTGCCAGAATAAAACCCCAATCAAACCAGAAATGCATGATTCCGGACGCCAATTCATCTCAAATTTAACAATAAATAACTTTTATCTCTGTGAATGAGTCATGAAATGAACCAATGTAAAAAGCTATATTAACGAAGACGAACATCTCCTTTTTAGGCCCATACAATCCATACTAATCACCTCAACAACCTTTATTATCACAACAGTATCATGCTCAACCTTAACTCTCAAGGTAGCACTGTTAAGTTGTTTAATCTGACGAAGTTAACTGGGAAGTTAGAATTTATTCGCGTCGGGCGAAAAATTTACTTGGCGAAAGTTTTTCGGCATGCATAAGTGTTTTGCTAACCAGACTTGATATGCCTCTGTAGATTACAATGTCATATCTGCCATGTTTATAATGGGCATCAACTTAATCGAAATCCCCGTGTAATCGTGAGTCAGCTAAACCGTTGTGTGTTAATATGATGAATATAGGTCTTTAGCAACAGCGCGGAAGGTGTCAAGCAAAAATGCGTTATTAGTCTGGCGTGTCACTAAATAGATGTGTTCCTACTCTGGTATGCGGACTATGCCACGCACCAGATTTGAGGTTTTCTAAATAAACATCTCAGCCGACAACATGTGTATCATGTTATACTAGACGTGAAATAGATGGAACACATTTTTGCTGTTGTAGAAATGCAGAGGTTATAGAAATATGTGGCAAGTATGTTTGGTTTGTATGATATGTCGTGTAGATTTTTTTTAATTTTCTTCTTTTATTTTATTTTTAGATGTTTCCAGTTGGAATCGAAGCCGAGACATCTGGTTTTCGTATTTAGCCAGGAGGCATAGGACTAGTAGTTAAAGCCTGATAAGACAGCTTCTGGGAATTCCTCAAAATTGTATTGATTAATGTATATGCTAATTGTATTAATTATGTATCTATGTACTGTAAAGCGCTTTAGAGTGGTTTATGTTAGCTAGATAGGGCGCTATATCAAATGCTGTATATTTATTTTATTAAATCATTTCCAATCGATTCGGTAGGGAGCGGCCAGAGAAGAATTGGTTTTTTTTTGTGTTAATAATGATGCTCGTGAAAGCATGATTTTTTTTTGTCAACTCATTTTGGGTCATTAATGGACTCCAATGTAGCAGTAATTTATATTATCGTGTAATACCTTCACTAGGGATAGAACCTGTTATTTGTATACGGGGGAAATTAAGGTAAATGTTGGGTTGGGGGTTTGTAAGTGGGGATTGAAGTGGTAGGCATGTGGGATTGAAGGGATATCATATGTTTGGGGTTGGGGTGAAGGGGTATTATATGTTTGGGGTTGGGGTGAAGGGGTATTATATGTTTGGGGTTGGGGTGAAGGGGTATTATATGTTTGGGGTTGGGGTGAACGGGTATGTATGTCGGTGATGAAGATAAAGGGGCACAATGTATGCATGTATGTTTATGTGGTGGGTTTTTAATTCAACACTCATTACTTTTCTAGAAACGTAAAAAAAAATATTAAATGTATAAACTGTTATCGTTCAGAAAAATGTGAACGTAAACACAAATGGAAAAACATGTTTTGAAAATGATGAACTGCTATTTGAATTGGTAGGAAAAGCAATAAATATATACTGATTGTGTTGTTAAACTTCTAGTAAGCTTCCTTACTTATTAACACAATTAAGTTTATGTTTTGTTTTCAATACCGGAAATTTTGAATAAATATATACGCTTTTCTATTCAAAATGAGAAGTTTGAAATGATATGAAACATTTTTAAAAAAAAATGAAAGAAACTTATTTTGAAGACAGAAAAAAAATCGTGCTAAGCTGACAGAGATATAAGCATTACAGACGGAACTCAATATCTGAAAACAGCGTGAATCCTGGCAGGTTTTACAATAAATGGCAGCTTTCAAGTGGTTCCTGTTTTTACGGCAAACGCCAGAGTGAGTGACCTCGGGGTCAAAACGTCAAGGTCACAATTTCGTTTGTTTACCAACACTGAACTGCGCATCAGAAAATAAAAGTACACAGGGCTTTTCCACATCAAATCTTTGTAAAGCTTTTTAACATGAAAAAATAAACCTTGACTGGGGATTTGTATTTTACAAACTGTAACATATATCTCTGGTTTAGATAATCTCGTGTTGAGTAATATCACATAAAATCTGGTACATATAGCCTAATGTCTCGTGTTGAGTAATATATCATCATATCCAGCTCAACGACCTTTACAGTCCATGCGATGCAAAATATTCAAATTTGTGTGTGTGGAGGCGAAAGGTATCTTTTATCATTGCAATCTGAGCGAGAGTTTTAAGCAGTGTTCCTATCTAAGCGGTGTTAAATTGCTATCGTTTCAACAGTTGTTTGAGAACGTGGGGCCAAAACATTTTGGAGTCAATGTATTTTTAAAATTAAAAAAATGGAGATTTTCTATCACATGATGTCTTTTCATCTTATTTATTCGCATTTTTTAAAAGTTTTTGAAAAGTTATAAAAACGGGAAAGCCTTCCCTTGGAACGTCACATCATACAATGGTCATTTGCTTTTCTAAATTCAAACCAATTAATTTAAGGGTCTCTGTCCCTCTGCTCGGTGTTTTTCTTATATACAGTGTAACCTTTCAACTCCCGCTTTGGAATTACTGTAGAACGGCAGGGTCCAGTACTACCGTAGACTAAACCCGAAGTCAGGGGTTCGAATACGTTACAGTTATCGGTAGTAGTACGGGTATCTTTAGGGTGGTATATTTACATTTACGTTGAAACCTACCAACAAAAATAATGTTTTAAACCAGTAACACTATATCACGTGATTAATTTTCGAGCCGGAAACTGTTGGATCGTTTCGTATTACTGATAGGATAACCGAAGACAATTCATGACGTAATGACAGATTCAAAATATGGTGAAAGTTTTCGAATATTTCCCATTGACGTTTTTCACCTGACGGAATATGAAGTTAACTATAGAAACTGATCAAGACTTTGTTCTCGTAAAAATGGATGTTCTATCTTTTCGTTAAAATTGCAACATGAACCGAAGAAAAACACACAAAGACGTGAAATTAATCAAGTTTTTCTTGTTATTATGAATGTGAATCTAAGAATTGAAATACACGCTTTTAACATTCATGATGACGTGAAACAAGTTCCTTCCAATCATATTGTACGGATACTCAGTTACAAAGCAGAGTTGTTAGGGTCTGGTACGGGGACCCATTCCAAATTGAAAAATGACCCAATTTCAGTCTTTAATTTCCCAATTAGATAACAACAAAAAAACATGTTTATACAAGTTTCCAGTTGTTATATGTGCAACGTTCAAAGTATTACCGTCCATGAAAGAGCATTCAAAACACATAAATAAGGGAAATTTAAAATTGAATAAACAAAAACACTAAAAATTGATGTGTTTATTTATTAAGGCTATACATTTTACTGTAAGAAACAGCTAGAGGAAAACCTTTTTGCAAATCACATTGTAGATTTTAATTCTCAAAACTTATGATATTTTTCCGAAACTGTAAATGTGGAAACACTGATGATATTTCCCAATTTTTGCCAAATTCCGATGATATTTACCCAATTCCTGCTCAGGGGCCCTTTCCCAAAATAGCTCGCAAAAACCCTAAAAAGACGTACTTCATTCTTAACGTATACACGAGAACAAACAATTATTTTTCAGTATATTGAGCACTTAGCAATCAAAAAAGATTTCAGACAGTAAGAAATAGTTAGCCACTGTTTCGGAGAGTCAGAGATTGTTTGACAATCGGAATTGCAGCCTCTGCTTCGCACAATTTGAAGTGAATAGTGGGTAGTCATTGTTTAGGATTTTTTAGACGAAACATGGGTTCATTATGTTTTACATGTATTTCAAACCTTTATTGTTTTTTTAATTAGAGGCCTTCGTGGTATGGGTGGATGATATATATCATGTGTATATATAGTTATAGTTTTTGGCAGTGCTATTCTGATCCAAAATCGCGGTAGTTTGTTAGAGGCTGTGTACTGTCAGGCGCGGATTCAAAATGTTTGAAACACAGTTTACAGTTTACGTACGACTGGCCTTGACTGCAAAACTTGTGAAATACCGGTATACATTCAAGCAAGGTGTGTTTTTAATTACAACACATAAAGAAACCCAAGCGTATAACTCACGTGTCAAATTAACATTCCGTTAAAGTACACGTGTACATAGCAGTCCTACATGTCCGTAATAATTGTCGTAAACTATGAATATTTAAAAATATGCGAGGAATGCGAGCGACATAATGACAGGTGAAAGAATGCTTACACCTGTTAAGTGGGAGACAGTTTGGGGGGGAGGGAGTGGGTTAGACCAGAAATTCTTATATTTTTTTTTTAATTTTTTTTTTACAACAGTTATGAAATTCTTCTGTGCCAAGGGGAATTGTAATACAATTAGGTGTGGGTCGGGATGGGGTGAGGGGGTAGACTATTGGTACTCCTGTGTCTGGTGAGTGGGAATTGTGATGTGAGGGTGGTTGATGATGGAGGCGGAATGGAATGACATACATATATATATATACGAAATTAGTATAGACACGAAATGTATATAATTTCCTTTATCTGATAATGACAACACGATCGAATCAATGTACAACTCCCGAAGCAAGAGTGTAAATCGTTTGAGCAATATATTGTATATTCCGTGACGCAGGGGCACTCTGGTTGTATTGCTATGTAATATATATCCTGACGTTGACTCAATAGCGCAGCTGTATACGTTGGCTTAAAGAGGTCATTATAACACCTCTTTCCCGACAAAAAGGATAATACACTTTTTAATCATGTCATTTCGTCATAATTCGTTGTCGATGATACTTCGTTTTGTCACTTATGATCAAATAAACGCTTGACACCTATATAACCCTAATGTAAGCCTCTTTGTAACATTGAGTGCTTTCACTCGGCAATTGCACAATGATAGAGCGACTTCGGCATATATCAGTATTGTTACACTCAAACACCTGTCCTGTAAATCATATTTTCACCAGCACATCAAATTTGCTATAATAAAAAACCCTGATGTCAGTTAGAATATTGCGTCACTGTATCGTTACGATGATTGTATGCATCGTCAATTAATGCATTAAGCGAGTTCGGTCTGATCAAAACGTTTTACCCAGAGCTATAATTCAGAAATCCTCAGAGTGCGCACCGTCCGCCGATTTGCCGAGAGAAACAGTTGGATACAACCTGGCAAAATGTTAAAACATTCGATATAGTGAATTTTAGCAGAACCTGAGAAAGTGTTAAAATATTCTATAATGTGAAGTTAGATACAACGTAGCAGACTTTTAAAAACACCGGACAAGCTGTCAAAAACACCGGACAAGCTGTCAAAAAATCCGACGAAGAGAACTAAATCGCAACCTGAAACACCGTTAAAAAAATTCCTTGAAAAGAATTGAAATCTAACCTAAACTTGTTAAAATGTTTGAAGAAATTAACTGAAACGCAACTTCACAAACCGTTAAAACATTTGATAAGTTGAATTTAATAACAACCCGACAAACTGTTTAAAACATTCAATCAATCTGATAAACTGGAAAAACATTCGATTAATTGAAACTTAAAACATCTGACCAAAAAGTTAACGTATTTGAAAAACTGTTAAAACATTTGATTATAGTTAAAACAGTCGGGTCTGTTGAAACATTCGATCGGTTTAAACATTCGTTCTGTTGAAACATTCCATCGTTTTAAACATCCGTTCTCCTGAACCATTTGATCGGTTTAAACATTCGTTCTGTTAAAACATTTGATGAAATGGATTAAGACGACACTTGTAGACATATTATACATTACTATACATTATATTGTTGTATATGATAATAAATGCTATATGATATTCATGTGATTTCCCTGCACTTTCAATCTGTTTCTTCTTTCCTTTTTCTGATTTCCAAATTCGTATAAAAATGTACATATATGTCTATTGTCAATGTCACATTGTTGTAGTACAATTGTTGAGGAGAGGGCTTTAATAAGTTGTAATAACTTGTGCCCAATCCTCTTGCTTGAATTTAGAAGCAATAACATATGTTTAAATTAAAAACTACACTTGTCAAACTGCTAACGTAATGGTAATCAATTTAAATGTAACATCACAAACCACTATATTTAATATATATTCGACAGAGTTGATGGTTAAAGCTGACCACACAGAAACTTAAAGCAAAGTTAATCAATGTCACTCAATATCTATCTTCAGAAAACACTAAAGGAATAAGTAAGGTTATCAAACTGTATGATTAAAAAGTTAGACAAATATTATTTTAGAGTGACAGTTTTGCTATTTGAATCACGAAATTTCGACAGAAATTCATTAAATTGTTAAATCATTATAAATTTATATGCGATAATTCTGGTTTGTGCTAACAAACTCAACGATATTGAAGTTGTTTCAAAACGGCAACGCGAACAACAATTTGTTGGGACGCATTTCAATGATGGACCGGTGCTATATACATTGCACGTTTGCCACTATTTTGAGTCGGTACTACGTATCATATATAACACTTACACACAAACACACCGCTTGCTGCGTCGACCAGGATTTATATTAAGACAATTCACGACCAGATACGCTGTCAAAATGTGATCAAAACGGAATTTATTTATTACCTTTTTTCATTATTAAGAAATTGAAAGGAATTATTGAATTGTATTTTCGTTTTTACCTCAAACTTATTTTTACCGGGTAAGCCTTTATCCACTTAACCTTAAAGTTCACTTATCTAACATGCAAACAGAAAACAAGTTCCTTGTAAGATTGGATAAATACACAGAATAAAGGAATGTTATCATTCTCCTCTTTTACTCACGTTTGTAATAACAAATGTGAAAAATGTATAACACGTTTAAATAGGTAAAACAACATATAGAATTTAATTAAAATATAAGAAAATCTTGCTTCAACTTACGTTTCGATTACTGTTTAGAAAAAGCTTTTACTAGGCTGCGTACGTAGTAGTACAAGTAGGCACATTAAATATAAGAAATGATGAAAAGTATCACCTAAAATTTGTTAATAATAATTAATAAATATTTTCAATACCTAGCGAAAGTCAACCTTTTGTCAGGTAAAGAAATAAGTTTACCTTACCTGTTAAGCGTAGATGACACAGGTGATACAGATAGTGAGTTGCAGGTAAGTCGTTCCACTGTAGTCTGTATAGTTCGCTGTTTGTGCTCCGTTTGACAAATCTTCACATCTTGTCCCTTTATATAAGTACAGGTCTCTCGGCTGAAATGTCCAATCGTTTTTGATCGTTTCATAACTAATGGTCAAAAAGTGTGTCACGTGACCCGAATAATATATTGTTCTCGTAGACGTTAATCAGAAGTTTCCAAAACATTTCGATAAAGATGCGCGCGCATTCCGTTTACGTGGATAGCCCCATGACGTATCACCCAGCGTGAAACGAACATCATTTACATGAGCATGCATGTAAAAATGATAAACATATATCGGCCAATAATTTCCGGAGTCTAGAATACGTACTTTTCCGCACCCTGCCTCATTCACAGCAGCCGTATCTTTCGTGTGACCGCCTTTATGAGGGGTTACTGAGTACAAAGCTGAGCTATAGCGCGTGGCTGATCGTTTAATCGTCTGTAGCCTACACGGAAGTTAAACAGCTTTACACACGAACAGTGTTACGCGAACGCCTTGTAAGGGGGTCACAATACGCCAAGAGAGTATCACGATATATTGCAATACAGAATGAATAGATTGCGATATGTATCCCGATATATTGTCATAGGAAGGATGTGCTTAATTTTATAATAAGTTGTCAGAATGTTGTTAAACTTAATCATAAATAATATGGATTATATAGATTTAAGATGTTTGTCAAACCAACCATCGATTACAAAATCTTTTAAAAGCCTGCTTTATGCTTTAAATTGGCATATCTGTTAGAATTTGTAGTAATATGCAAAGTTAAAACACCAAGCAAATACATAGAAATATGCTTTTGAAAAATATTACGATACAGCAATATTTCATCTCTGTATTGTAGTACGATACAATATACCCGTGTTTTGCGATATACCTGTTTTCCTATATATTGTGACAGCCCTAACGCTTTATTTAGATTTGTGCAATTTCTTTAATTGTCATATGACCACCTTAATAGAAATCCTCAGGTGATTTGTAACTGACTATTTTTTTATATTGACTTTTTTGGTAGAACTATGATATGCGGTTCACATAACAAAAAAGGAAATTATCAGTTTTCGTCAGATTTTTTTTCTTGATTACCGTTTTTAAGCCAAAATGCAGTCCGGATAAAAGTCATGAAATTTTAGACGTACCGGAAGTTGAAAGTTTTGTTTTTATTTCATTTATTTATTTATCATATATATATATATATATAAAGATTTATTTATTTATTTTGTTCGATGTAAATCGATATTTTCTTTTCATGTTCATATTTTGTGACTTTTGGATTTTAGATGTCAAAAAATTTAGATGTAGTTGAATCCAGATTGTTTCCAAATAGCTATGTAGAAGTAATACCGGAAGTTGACATTTTTATATTTTTGTTTTCGTTTGTTAAATACCAACCGGAAGTTTACAATTTAAACTACTTCTTTATCGATTTCATGTTAAAATCAAGCAAATGTTCACTACTTATGTATTTTTTTTGTGAAATATCAATCCATTTTTTATCAATATTGAAATACAATCTTAGATTTAGATTTCTATCTGAGATACAAACAATTGTCAACTGTCTGTGAAATGAACACTATATCACCTCAGAACGCCGAGTCGTTTACAGTGTCATACCTCGTAAAACACTATAGGAAGCCGTACAGTACGATTAGTCTACCGGAAAACATACATTCTCTGGGAAGAGTGTAACGGAGTCTCACTATAAGTTGTTTCTAGGATGAGGTGCGTAACTCAAGCTTTGTTAAAAACCTGTAGCCCTACAGACATTGGTCCCTGCAGGTAGGGCGTAGGAATTGTACCTGCTGCCCCCATTCCATGATCATAAGAGGCGACTAAATTTGGGATCTTATCTTTTCTCTTCTTTTAAACAACTTTCTTCTTCCTATTGTTTCCCTTGATAATGCCTCACTTTTGGCCTTTAGTTGAGCGGTCGCCCCTGTGAGGAAGGCTTTGGGTTCTGTCCCCTGGCCGAAACATACCAGGGTCTGTAAAAATGGTAGTTTCTACTCCTGCTTAACGCTCCGCAATTTAGGAGTGGGACGACTGGTTCGCCCGTTGTCAGTATAATGTCACCGGGTGGGGCGTCCTGCTGGATGTCTTCGGTNGTAATATGCAAAGTTAAAACACCAAGCAAATACATAGAAATATGCTTTTGAAAAATATTACGATACAGCAATATTTCATCTCTGTATTGTAGTACGATACAATATACCCGTGTTTTGCGATATACCTGTTTTCCTATATATTGTGACAGCCCTAACGCTTTATTTAGATTTGTGCAATTTCTTTAATTGTCATATGACCACCTTAATAGAAATCCTCAGGTGATTTGTAACTGACTATTTTTTTATATTGACTTTTTTGGTAGAACTATGATATGCGGTTCACATAACAAAAAAGGAAATTATCAGTTTTCGTCAGATTTTTTTTCTTGATTACCGTTTTTAAGCCAAAATGCAGTCCGGATAAAAGTCATGAAATTTTAGACGTACCGGAAGTTGAAAGTTTTGTTTTTATTTCATTTATTTATTTATCATATATATATATATATATAAAGATTTATTTATTTATTTTGTTCGATGTAAATCGATATTTTCTTTTCATGTTCATATTTTGTGACTTTTGGATTTTAGATGTCAAAAAATTTAGATGTAGTTGAATCCAGATTGTTTCCAAATAGCTATGTAGAAGTAATACCGGAAGTTGACATTTTTATATTTTTGTTTTCGTTTGTTAAATACCAACCGGAAGTTTACAATTTAAACTACTTCTTTATCGATTTCATGTTAAAATCAAGCAAATGTTCACTACTTATGTATTTTTTTTGTGAAATATCAATCCATTTTTTATCAATATTGAAATACAATCTTAGATTTAGATTTCTATCTGAGATACAAACAATTGTCAACTGTCTGTGAAATGAACACTATATCACCTCAGAACGCCGAGTCGTTTACAGTGTCATACCTCGTAAAACACTATAGGAAGCCGTACAGTACGATTAGTCTACCGGAAAACATACATTCTCTGGGAAGAGTGTAACGGAGTCTCACTATAAGTTGTTTCTAGGATGAGGTGCGTAACTCAAGCTTTGTTAAAAACCTGTAGCCCTACAGACATTGGTCCCTGCAGGTAGGGCGTAGGAATTGTACCTGCTGCCCCCATTCCATGATCATAAGAGGCGACTAAATTTGGGATCTTATCTTTTCTCTTCTTTTAAACAACTTTCTTCTTCCTATTGTTTCCCTTGATAATGCCTCACTTTTGGCCTTTAGTTGAGCGGTCGCCCCTGTGAGGAAGGCTTTGGGTTCTGTCCCCTGGCCGAAACATACCAGGGTCTGTAAAAATGGTAGTTTCTACTCCTGCTTAACGCTCCGCAATTTAGGAGTGGGACGACTGGTTCGCCCGTTGTCAGTATAATGTCACCGGATAGAGTGTCCTGCTGGGTGTCTTCGGCAGTATGTTTCAGTGAGGTAGCACTACAAAGTCGGCATCAGTTCCGCGCTATCACAAGGAGACAAACACGAACATATCGCAGCCTTCCAAAACACACACACATACACTACACGCATTCATCTTGCACACAAGAGGAGGCCGTCCTTAAATGACCCTAGCTGTTGATAGTACCTTAAACAATACCAAACCAAACTCTTAAGACATTCGAACCAACCTTTTTTTAGCTTTCGATATTAGTTATCTTCTCTGTATTCTTGGATTTCTACGTCGCATATACATAGTGTGCTGCACCCTCTGGACGGTATGGGTTGACTAGTCGGGCATGCCTGTGATCTCAATAGAAATGCTTTGATTGAATGTGAATCGCGTAACAGCGTTACGGCAAAATCGACGGGCTTTGATCTCATGTTAGCTCTTTGATTATCTTAAAAGAACGCAGGTACAATGGTCAATAACAATAGTAGTCCCCAAATATCACGTGGTAAGATCGACCGCTATGGCTGCCACTAACTCGGTTAATACGATACACCATACACTCTCCAATCACGGCCTCGTTCTGATCTAGCCAATCAGAGCGATTCAATCTAGGTGTAACGCAGCAATTCCGGAAGTTGTTAAAACCTTCTATCCGTAAGAAAACAATAATTGTACATGCAGATATTAAAACAGAAATGTTATCTCGTTTGTTATTAAAAGTGTCATAAAATGATAACAAAATATCATATTGTGCCTATTTGTTAAAATGAAAGTATGTAATTCAAGTACACGTACATTAAAATCCCATTTCCTTCCCCCTCTTTCAACGATTGGTATTATAGATATACCCATATTAAAAGTGAATGCACTCAGCGACACCTTTGTAAATATAAACAAATCAAGTTGTTATGGTTTTAATTTCAACAAATGAGAAACAAACACACCAGACAAAGATTTTGTGTCTCAGTTCCGAAAAAAACCACGTATTAAGATCACGAAACAGATGTTACTAGAATCATCGCCTTGATTTTTATTAATTAATCAAACAGCGACATGTTCAAAAATGCCTGACATGACCAAAAATCATCAAAACTGTTTAAATGCACATTAACCGAATTTTATCCGTTCGTGAGGTTGTACGTTGCCACTGGAAAACAGATTTCTGATATTTTCGGTCGAACATTTAAAAAAACAATAAAATGTCCTAGAAGGCGGACATTCGAACCAATTGCCGACCGACATCGTCCTCCATTGCATAACACATGGCCTTATATATGCAAATGAGTAAGTTGAATTTAATTTTTCAAGTTCAATTTTAATGTACTGAAAGATGAATATGTTAGTTTTTAAAGAGATTCTTGTCCACTGCAGGCAACACAGTAAGCGATTCCACCGTACATATAGTTGCCTCCCTTTAATATAGCTCTGACATAACTGTGCAGCGTCGTACGACTTTATTTTTTGAAATGATTGATCAAAGTCCTAGTCATATACCGGAAACAAGTCCCAGTGTATTGTGAGACTTGTGGGCAGTGGTACGAGAATCCTAAAGGCCCTAGTCGTTCAATTAGTGCGCATGCACTGCAGCGGCCGTCAACGGTCAGCGTTATGAAGACGAACTATTTTATTTTTTTTTAATTTTTTTTTTTACATAATTTGATTTCTCCATTTAAGTAGATGTATTTTGGAGAGAGTATTTGTTATGATGTGATGACTCGTGCCCAGATCGTTTGTTGAAATCAATTAA